CCCCCTCATTCTTCTCTTCTGCAGGCTAAACAATCCCAGCTCCCTCAGCCTCTCCTCATAACTCATGTGTTCCAGACCCCTAATCATTTTTGTTGCCCTTCGCTGGACTCTCTCCAATTTATCCACATCCTTCTTGTAGTGTGGGGCCCAAAACTGGACACAGTACTCCAGATGAGGCCTCACCAATGTCGAATAGAGGGGAATGATCACGTCCCTCGATCTGCTCGCTATGCCCCTACTTATACATCCCAAAATGCCATTGGCCTTCTTGGCAACAAGGGCACACTGCTGACTCATATCCAGCTTCTCGTCCACTGTCACCCCTAGGTCCTTTTCCGCAGAACTGCTGCCTAGCCATTCAGTCCCTAGTCTGTAGCGGTGCATTGGGTTCTTCCGTCCTAAGTGCAGGACCCTGCACTTATCCTTATTGAACCTCATCAGATTTCTTTTGGCCCAATCCTCCAATTTGTCTAGGTCCTTCTGTATCCTATCCCTCCCCTCCAGCATATCTACCACTCCTCCCAGTTTAGTATCATCCGCAAATTTGCTGAGAGTGCAATCCACACCATCCTCCAGATCATTTATGAAGATATTGAACAAAACCGGCCCCAGGACCGACCCTTGGGGCACTCCACTTGATACCGGCTGCCAACTAGACATGGAGCCATTGATAACTACCCGTTGAGCCCGACAATCTAGCCAGCTTTCTACCCACCTTGTAGTGCATTCATCCAGCCCATACTTCCTTAACTTGCTGACAAGAATACTGTGGGAGACTGTGTCAAAAGCTTTGCTAAAGTCAAGAAACCAAAGGAAATTCCCAATCTGAGTTAAATAAACGAGACAGGATTGGAATCAAGCCCTGTCTCACCCTGACAGATGGTACAAGCAGGTCACAGTCCCTCAATATACGGGCTGGGACTAGGGTGACCAAACAGCAAGTGTGAGAAATTGGACTGGGGGAGCGGGGGGTAATAGGACCCTGTATAAGCCAAAGCCCCAAATATCGGGACTGTCCCTATAAAATCGGGACACGTGGTCACCCTAGCTGGGACTCACCTCCAGCCTGGGACCACCCTCCCCAGTTCAACCTCTTTGTCTTCCAGATGTGCTTCCAGGTGTTGAGATGGGGGAGGGGAGGAGAGGCCAAGTGATGAGCTCACTTCCTCTCTTTTATACTTTCTTCCAGCTTGCTGGAAAGCGGGGATCAGGCAGCCCCCCCCCCCAAACAGATATTGCCTAGGTGCTCTCTCTGAGAAGTCGCTGGGGTGGCCGCTGGGACAGTGGATTGCCTTTACTGAGCCATCAGCGCATGTCTGACTGGTCCTTGGCTGCAGTTGAAAGGCCTGCTGGGGGTGTTCCCAGGCTCACAACGTATTGCAGGAACACGCACGCAGAGCCATGCTTCGTGAGGCCCCGTGCGAGGCTGGCATGGGCGGTCCAACGGGAGATACGGTTCAGCAGGGCAAGACTCACAGGGCAGACTCCGTACAGAGCCTCTCACCATCATCTGGCCACGGTGACCGTGGGAGCTCCAGGTGCTACTTGGAGGTCACGAGTGTCACAGAGAGACGGACAGGTGAGGTGAGTCTGATGATGTCACAAGGCGCCCCCACCTTAACAGGAAGAGACATCATAGGAAATGACCACGTCCCCGGAAATGCTGGCGTAGAGCCCCTTGCAAACATCAAAGAGATGGGCGGGCGCGAGGAGCCTGATGATGTCACCGGGAGTCCCACCATCACAGGAAGTGACATCACTGCAAATGATGACGTCGCCAGAAATGACACCGGAAACGGGGTTACAACTTGAACCTGTGTGCTTTAGGGTCCTGGCCAAACCCCTGCCCGCCCTGGCCTCCTGACAGGAAGTCCCGCTGTAGCGAAGGACGGAAGCTAATGGGAGCTGGTGTCTGGAAACATCCCCTGCCCAGCATCCGAGCGGGAGTGCTAACGAGCTGCAGGGGATCTGCCAGGGGGCGGGGGGGGCCGGTTCGATAGGAAATCAATACGTACCGTGCTGAGCCTGCCCCCTCCGACCGCACACCCCTACGCGTCAGCTACCGCCCCCCACTGGAACCTGCCCGGGGCATCAGCAAACCCTTACAACCAGACTCGACAGGGTTCTTTCCTGAACCCCTCTTCTGGCCTTCAAACAACCCCCCACCTCGTCATCGCTCCCCACAGACCAGGACCCACCAGCTCCGAGCGCCGCCAGACCTGGCCAGAACAGATGGGAACCTGCAGCCGTATCTCCCCTGCTGTGATGATCAACACCCCGAACAACACATCTCTTGAGAGCCCGGGGTCCTGCCCAGCCCCAGCACGAGCCATGGCACCGATGTGCCCGACGCCCCAGCCACGCGGGTGGGGTGGGTGAAGCCAAACAATGGGGGGCGCGCAGGGCATCGGCGGGGACACTATCTCCGTTCATGTCAGCGTCACTTGCTGGGAATCGGGTCCCAGGAACGGACACTCCCGTTCGGCGAACAGCTCCGGCCTCGTGAGCGTCCCCGTGCAGCCTGTGTCGGGGCTCACACATCGGCCTCTGGGGTCCCCGAGGGCCAGCCCAGCGACGAGCCGCACCCTGGGCGGCGTACAGACTCGTGCTTCTGGAGGGGGGCAAAGTCCCGTCCTTGGCTCCGGGGCAGTTTGGAAAGCCCGCTCTCTCAAAGCCAGCAGCGATCTCCTCTGCCTGTCACCTTGGGGTGAACCACACGCCTCCGAAACCTCCACTCCCCCTTTACCCACTGGCCACGTCCCAGCACCAAACTGGTTGGCAATGGACCTGTAGCCATCCGGGGTTGGCATAAATACGGCCAGACCAGGTCAGATCAATCGTCCAGCTAGCCCAGGGTCCTGTCTTCTGACAGCGGCCAATGTCAGGTGCCCCAGAGGGAATGACCAGAACAGGGTAATTATCCAGTGATCCACCCCGTCGTCCATTCCCAGGTTCTGCAGTTGGAGGTTTAGGGTCACCCAGAGCGGGGGGTTACGTCCCTGACCAGTTCTACTTTTGGCCTTCACAACATCCCATTCAAGTTGCAGTGGGGGAGGTTTAGATTGGATATTAGGAAAAACTTTTTCACTATGAGGGTGGTGAAACACTGGAATGCGTTACCTAGGGAGGTGGTAGAATCTCCTTCCTTAGAGGTTTTTAAGGTCAGGCTTGACAAAGCCCTGGCTGGGATGATTTAACTGGGATTTGGTCCTGCTTCGAGCAGGGGGTGGGACTAGATGACCTTCTGGGGTCCCTTCCAACCCCTGATATTCTATGATTCTATGATTCTATGATCCCCTGGCAAGGAGTTCCACGGGTGTGTGAAGAAGTATTTCCTTATGTTTGTTTTAAACCTGCTGCCTATTAATTTCACTGGGTGACCCCTGGTTCGTGTGTAATGCGAGGGGGTAAAAAACATGATTCATGATTTTATCGACCTCGATCATATCCCCCCTTACTGGAGTCTTTTCCAAGCTGAGAAGTCCCAGTCCTATTAATCTCTCCTCATACGGCAGCCATTCCATCCCCCTAGTCATGTTTGTGGCCCTTCTCTGCACCTTTTCCCATTGGAGTCGATCTTTGTGGAGATGGGGCGACCACCTCTGCACAGCGTATCCCAGGCCTGGGTGGGCCATGGGTTTATGGAGCAACAATCGGATCTTTTCTGTTTTCTTCTCGGTCCCGTTCCTGACGGCTGCTGGACCCTGCGTGGAGGGTTTCAGAGAACTGCCCAGGAGGGAACCCCCACCGCCAGCTACCGCTCACCAAAGGTTGTAGCCAGAGCTGGTGCCGAGCCGGGAATAGAACCCAGGAGTCCTGGGAGGCGGATGGGGCAGGAGATGAACTGAAGAATGCACTGTTCCAGGGTGACACTCGTCCCTTCATTCCTGGATTATTGAACAGGATGAAAGGGGCTGGAATGATGCTAATGTTCAACAATGTTCAACAAGGACCAGTGGAGAGTCCTGCACTTAGGACGGAAGAATCCCATGCACCGCTACAGACTAGGGACCGAGCGGCTCGGCAGCAGTTCTGCGGAAAAGGACCTGGGGGTTACAGTGGACGAGCAGCTGGATATGAGTCAGCAGTGTGCCCTTGTTGCCAAGAAGGCCAATGGCATTTTGGGATGTATAAGTAGGGGCGTTGTCAGCAGATCGAGGGACGTGATCGTTCCCCTCTATTCGACATTGGTGAGGCCTCATCTGGAGTACTGTGTCCAGTTTTGGGCCCCACACTACAAGAAGGATGTGGATAAATTGGAGACAGTCCAGGAGGAGAAATGATCAGGGGACTGGAACACATGATTTACGAGGAGAGGCTGAGGGAACTGGGATTGTTTAGTCTGCAGAAGAGAAGCGTGAGGGGGGATTTGAAAGCAGCCTTCAACTACCTGAAGAGGGGTTCCAAACAGGATGGAGCTCGGCTGTTCTCAGTGGTGGAAGACGACAGAACAAGGAGTAATGGTCTCAAGTTGCAGTGGGGGAGGTCGAGGTTGGATATTAGGAAACACTATTTCACTAGGAGGGTGGTGAAGCACTGGAATGGGTTCCCTAGGGAGGTGGTGGAATCTCCTTCCTTAGAAGATTTTAAGGCCCGGCTTGACAAAGCCCTGGCTGGGACGATTTAGTTCGGGTTGGTCCTGCTTTGAGCAGGGGGTTGGACTAGAACCTCCTGGGTCCCTTCCAACCCTGATATTCTCTGATAAAGGGGGGCAGGGACTTGGGTTACAACAGTGCCCCCTACTGAGCCATCCACGCAGCCCCCTGCAGCACGGCGCCCCCTAGCGCCACACTGGGGCATTGGGGCCGGCCCTGCCTGCCAGCGGAGACCCCCCTCCCCGCCCCCTGCAGCACGGCGCCCCCTAGTGCCGGGGGAGGTTCCGTGGCAGTTGGAGGTGGCTGCAGACAGGCCGGGACGGTCGGGGTCTCTGGGGCCATGGGATGGGGCTGCGATGGGCTCTCCGACCTGGGCCTGCAGCCCCGATGGAAACAAGGGTCCCGATGCCGAGAACAGCCAGTGAGTGAGTAAGGGTGGGAGGGGAGAGATCTGGGCCCTGAAAACACCCTGAGAGCCGCTGGGCCCAGAAAGAGAGGGAGGGAGAGAGAGAGAGAGAGAGAGGGTGGGGGGTGTGTCTGGGGGTAGATAGACAGATAGATGTGGACAGACGGGGTGTATGGAGATGGACGGACGGACGGACAGACCAGGGGTGGACGGAGACGGATGGACAAACGGGGGATGTACGGACAGACAGACAGGGGGTGTACAGGGATGGACAGACGGGGGGTGGACGGGGATGGACGGACAGACGGGGGGTGGACGGGGATGGACAGATGGACGGACGGGGGGTGGACGGGGATGGACGGACAGACAGGGGGTGGACGGGGATGGACAGACGGACGGACGGGGGGTGGACGGGGATGGACGGACAGGGGGTGGATGGACGGACAGGTGTGTTGATGGATGGGGGGATGGGGGAGTGCCAGAGGGGGGTCTCCCCGCCCCCGCTCAGCCTCTCGTCTCCCCGCAGGGCCCCCCCCCCGCGGCCCGTGGACCCTGCGCTGTCTGGCCGTGGGCACCAGCTGCTGCAGCCTGGCGCTGCTCCTGGTCGCCATGACGAGCCCGCGCTGGCTCCTCATCGACTCCCCGGACGACGGGGACCACAGCGGGGTCTGGTGGCTCTGCTCCCGCCCCGTGCGCCCCGGGATCGGCACCGAGACGCGTGAGGGACGGGCCCTGCCCCCTCCCCCCAGCCCTGCCGGCGCCCCTCACTCCCGACCCGCAGCCCCCTGCCCCCGGGGCCTGGGCTCCCCCCAGCCCTGCCGGCGCCCCTCACTCCCGACCCGCAGCCCCCTGCCCCCGGGGCCTGGGCTCCCCCCAGCCCTGCCGGCGCCCCTCACTCCCGACCCGCAGCCCCCTGCCCCCGGGGCCTGGGCTCCCCCCAGCCCTGCCGGCGCCCCTCACTCCCGACCCGCAGCCCCCCGCCAGCCCAGCCCTGGGCCCCTCCCCCCAACTGCTCTGCTGGTGCCCCTCACTCCCGACTTGCAGTCCCCCCAACCCTTATCCTGGCGCCGGGCTCCCCCCCCAGCTGTGTGGATGGTTCGGCTGAGCCCGTTGGATTCCCGGTTCCCTGCAGCATTCGTCAAGGCGATCAGGGCCCTGCTGCTGTTTGCGCTGCTGGCTTCATCCGTGGCGGTGGCCTCTCTGCTCGTCTCCGTCAGACCCTTCGCCCGATGGCGGGGCTCTCGCTTCCTGGTCTCGGCCACGGCCAATTTCATCGCAGGTAAAATAATCACCTGCCTTCCCTCCCCCGTCCCGTGGGGAACACACAAGCCCCTGGCAGCTGCCAGCGCCGGCTACCTGGCACCAAGATGCAGCCACCTCTGGGGCGGGGCAGCTGAGGAACAGCCGCACATAACGGTGCACAGGGACCCCTCGCCCGGTGCTGAGATACAGCCACCTCTGGGGTGGGGAAACTGAGGAACAGCCGCCTAGGCTGTGCATTGCCCCCTGGTGGCTGGTTACGGGTGGAGCAAGGAGCTGATGGGAAACGCCCCCGAGTGGCCCCGGCTGTGGGAGCAGTTTCCCTGTAGACCCCACCACAGGTGCATGGGGAAAAGGGGGGGCTGGGGCTGGCTGCATTCTGGGGGTGTCTGGTCTCCCCAGGGCTGCTGGTGCTGATCAGCGTCGTGATCTTCACGGCCCACGTGATGCTGGACTCCGTCAACCCGCAGGCCAGGGCCTCCTTCGAATGGGCCTTTTTCCTCGCCTGGACCCTCAGCCCCCTCTTCGTCCTCAGCGGTGAGACCCCCACCCCGCTCCTCCTCCGACCCCCAGGGCTCTGCCCCCTGGCCAGGCCGCAACCTGGAGCCGGGCTGTGGTAAGAGCCGCCCAGGGAGCCCAGGCTGCTGTGGGGAGTCCTGGACCCCCAAGAGCTGCCCCAGCCCGTGTCCCTGACCCCCAGGGTACGCTACTGCCAGTGGGACCCAGGGGCGGGGGCTCCGGTCCGGACTCCTGCCCCCTCCCCGGGGCTGCAGACATGCTCTGCGGGGAGGCCCGGGACAGTGCCAGGGAGGGCCCCTCAGGTACAGCCCCTGCTGCTACTGGCCTGGCCTCAGCGGGCACCACCCACCCCCCCGGGCTGGTTCAGTGCCCGTGCCCGGCTCCCGCCACTGCCAGGCTGCACCCGCCGGGTCCCTCCTGTGCCCGCCGGGTCCCTCTGCTGCCAGGCTGCACCTGCCAGGTCCCTTCTGTGCCCGCCGGGTCCCTCCTGTGCCCGCCGGGTCCCTCTGCTGCCAGGCTGCACCTGCCAGGTCCCTTCTGTGCCCGCCGGGTCCCACCTGCACCCGCCAGGTCCCTTCTGTGCCCGCCGGGTCCCTCTGCTGCCAGGCTGCACCTGCCAGGTCCCTTCTGTGCCCGCCGGGTCCCTCCTGCGCCCGCCGGGTCCCTCTGCTGCCAGGCTGCGCCCGCCGGGACCCTCCTGTGCCCGCCGGGTCCTTCCTGCGCCCGCTGCCACCTGGGCTTTGTGCCCGAGGCTGGCAGTTTGGGGGGGCAACACCCGCTCTGCGTGGGCATGCTCCCCCCCCAGCTTCCCCTGTCCTGGCGCTCCTGGGCTCCCAGGTGGCGGGGGGGGAAGAAATGTTCTCTGTGCTCAGGGCCCCTATAAATCTTTATCCACCTCTGCCCCCACCATCCCTCCGCCCTGGGGGTCAGACCGGAGGGGGTGAGCTCTGCCCCCCCAGCTGGGGGGCTTCTGCCATCTAACCCTCTCCTCTCCCCCACAGGGATCCTGTCTCTGTTTGTCCACAGCTGCCCCCCGGTGCTGAGCCCCCGCGTGGGACCCTGGGGCCAGCCCAGCCAGGACCTCGGGGAGATGCTAGCCCAGGGGGAACTGGAGGGGGGGCCGGGGGCAGAGCCCCTCCCGCTGGGGCGGGTGACGCTGGTCCACTGGGGGCTGGAGGGAGGGCCGGGGGCAGAGTCCCTCCCATTGGGGCAGGTCACGCCAGCGCAAGAGGGGCTGAAGGGGAGGTTGGGGACAGAGCCCCTCCCACTGGGGCAGGTGACGCCAGCACAGGGGGGGCTGGAGGGGGGGCCAGGGCAGAGCCCCTCCCACTGGGGCAGGTGACGCCGGCCCAGGAGGGGCTGGACGGGGGGCCGGGGGCAGAGCGCCTCCCGCTGGGGCAGGAGGGGGCAGCCCAGGAGCCCGAGGGCGAGTTCAAAGGGGGTGTTTTGCCATAAGCCCCTTCGGAGCCAATTAGCCCCAGGGTGCAAAGGGGGCACTGGGCGGGGTGCGCTTGTGGGTATGAGACGGGGCGATTGTGTGATTGCGTGGGGGGGGGAGGTGGGAGATTGTGGGGTTGTGTTGCTGGGGGCGATTGTGTGTGTGTGACTGGGGTTTGCTGCCCGGCGTTGCCCGAAGCCGGCGAATCACCCCCGGGACGCACGTGGCCCCGTTGTCTGACCGGAGAGGCCGTTTCTCCTTATTCCTAATTATTCCGATTCATTCGTTCTCAATCACTCAAATGAAGGCTCCGTTTGTGACACAAGTGGCCCTGAGCTTTGTGCGGGGGGGAACCGACGCCAAATTGGGTGTCCTGGGTGGGACCCGCTCCCCAGAGGGATTTGGGTGCCCAACTCCCCTGGGCACCCTCACTGAAAACGTCACCCCATTGCACCGTGGTGGCCGACTGGGCTGCAGGAGAGTTGGGAGCCGCTGGGCCAGGGAGCGAGAGGGAGGCAGAAAAGGCCGGAGCGCGGCTCCCTAAAGCCAGGGTCCACCCGCCCCCGGGACACGGCGCCGATCGGGCCGGCCCAGTGCCAGAGAGAGACCTTAGAAATGGGAAAGGGGCAAAGGCCGAGCCCGGGTGCTGGGCGGCTTCCATGTGGGAAGAGCCGGTAAAGCTGGTGCGGGTCAGCGTAGGAACGAGATGGCGAAGGGGAAAGGTGACGGAGGGCGAGAAAACCATGCGGGGGCTGGAGGGTGGCCAGAGAAATGCGCCTGACCCATCCCATGGGACGAAAGCAGGGGTTGCCCGATGACGTAAGCAGGCGGTTGGTGTCGTCCAATGAGATGGAAGCACCGTTAACCTGGGGAATGCCTCGCTGGAGGATGCCACGAGGGCCAACGGGGTTCACAAAGGAATCCGATGAGCTCAGGGAGGAGCAGCCCATCGATGGGTGTCAGCCAGGGTGGGCAGAGACACAACCCCAGGCTCCAGCGCCCCTCAACCTCCGACGGTGGGGTGGGGACACAGACCTACGCAAGCTCACCACAGTGTTCTCCTGCAGCTGTCTTGAGATCCTGGGGGGTTGCTGTTCCCAGGGGAGGAGCGGACGAGGGGGTGTCCTACCCCTTCCCATCTCCAGGGCCCATCTCCAGGGCCCTCCTAGGAAACCCAATTTGCAGAGGTGGCTCCCCTAACTCCTTTGCTGGCCCGAATCCTTCCAAGAGCGTGTGGGAGCCGGTCCCCAGGACAGGGACAGAGCCACCGTGTCACACTAAGCCCCCCCCATGGCCTTCCTAGGCCCGCCCCCAAAGAGATGAACCCCAACGCGCGGCTGCCCGGGGCCAGCAAAGTTCCTTGGGCTGGTGTCAGGCCGGCGCCCATGAGTCCGTGGAAGGAAAAGACCTAAAGGGGATGGGAACCCGCCGCCAGGGCCTGGAGGAGATTGAGGACGTCGAGGGTGGGGTGCTGGCAGAACCCCCCCCCGGCCACTAGGGGCGTCACAGGAGACTGGGCGCCGACAGACCCCCCCCGCAGCCAGTAGGGGGCGTGACCGGGCAGGCCCCCCGCACACTCCGGCGTGACTCCGACTCAGCCCCGCTGCGGAAGGCTCTTGCGTGTGTGCGGGACGGGCTCCCGCGGCGCTGAGACGCACCATGTCCGGGGCGGGTCGGCTGGGAACCAGCCGCACATAACCCCGCCCGGGGCAGCTCACCGGGGCAGGGATGCACCCACCTCTGGGGCGGGGCAGCTGGGCCCTGCCCCACAGCGATGCCGCCCTCGCCCTGCAGTGCGGGGCCCCCTGGCGGCGGACGGTTCCCTGGCAGTGGGGGGCAGCTGCGGGGGGGGGGGTCTGTGCGCAGCGGGGGCTCCTGCGAAGGGAGTTTGGGGAGATCGGGGTGAAGCCCCCAGATCCTGCTGCCGCCCTAAGAGGCCCCGGGGTCCCCACAGCGTGTGGGGCGGGGGCCACGCCCAGGCTCCCCCGTGGCGCCCCCATGTGGCTGACAGGGACGTCGCCCTACAGAGCCGTCAGCAGGTTCTCTGCCTGCCTCAGTTTCCTGCTGCTCTCGGCCGCCCTGCTGGCGGGACGGGGGCCACCCCCAGGACGCCGGGGTCCTCGCCGGGCTGTGCACCAAGCCAGCCTGTGGGAACAGGAGACAGGCCGGCGGTAAGGGGGGGAGGCGCCCCTCGCTCCCGACCCGCAGCCCCCTGCCAGCCCAGCCCTGGGCTCCCCCCCCAGCTCCACCGGTGCCCCTCACTCCCGACCTGCAGCCCCCTGCCAGCCCAGCCCTGGGCTCCCCCCTCCCCAGCTCTGCCGGTGCCCCTCACTCCCGACCCGCAGCCCCGCCAGCCCAGCCCTGGCCCCCCCCAGCTCTGCCCCACCCCACCCCCCTCCCCGCCCGCCCCCCACTCCACCGTGCCCCCACCCCGACCCGCCCCCCCCACCCACCCCCCCAGCTCTGCGGTGCCCTCACTCCTGACTGCAGCCCCCGCCAGCCCAGCCCTGGGCTCCCTCCCCCCAGCTCTGCCGTGCCCTCACTCCCGACCGCAGCCCCCTGCCAGCCCAGCCCTCCCCCCCCCCAGCTCCCCCCCCCCACCCCCCCCCCCCCCACCCCCCCCCCCCCACCCCCCCCCCACCCCACCACCCCCCCACCCACCCTACCCCCCCCCAGCTCTGCGGCCCTCACCCCGACCCGCAGCCCCCCACCCTACTCCCCCAGCTCTGCCGGTGCCCCTCACTCCCGACCCGCAGCCCCCTGCCAGCCCAGCCCTAGGCCCCCCCCCCCCCCAGCTCTGCCGGTGCCCCTCACTCCTGACCCGCAGCCCCCTGCCAGCCCAGCCCTGGGTCCACCCCCCCCCCAGCTCTGCCGGTGCCCCTCACTCCTGACCCGCAGCCCCCCGCCAGCCCAGCCCTGGGCTCCCCCCCCCCAGCTCTGCCGGTGCCCCTCACTCCCGACCTGCAGCCCCCTGCCAGCCCAGCCCTGGGTCCACCCCCCAGCTCCACCAGTGCCCCTTGCTCCCGACCTGCAGCCCCCACTAGCCCAGCCCTGGCACCCCTCTCGCCCACAGAGACTGGGCAGGATGGTGGGTCTTTAGCCCCACGTTGCCCTTGGTGTCCCCCTAGATCTCCTGGGGGCCCCTGGCATTTGCCTGACCTTCGCCGCTCTCGCTGGCTTCGTGGCCGTTCTCAGCTGCTGCTCCAGGCTCGCCTGCGACTTGCTGATCTCCGCAGCAGCCAGCTTCACCGCAGGTAGCCCCACGTCTCCTCCCTGCCCGGTGCTGGCACACAGACGGATGTGGGGCGGGGCGTGGGGCTGGTTATACAGGGACCCCTCGCCGGCGCTGAGATGCGGCTGCCTCTGGGGCGGGGCGTGGGGCTGCTTCTATAGGGACCCCTTGCCTGGCACTGAGATGCAGCTGCCTCTGGGGCGGGGCGTGGGGCTGGTTATACAGGGACCCCCTCGCCGGCGCTGAGATGCGCCTGCCTCTGGGGCGGGGCGTGGGGCTGGTTCTATAGGGACCCCTTGCCCGGCACTAAGATGCGGCTGCCTCTGGGGCGGGGCTGGTTATACAGTGACCCCTCACCCGCGCTGAGATGCAGCTGCCTCTGGGGCGGGGCACAGGGCTGGTTATACAGGGACCCCTTGCCCGGCACTGAGATGCGGCTGACTCTGGGGCGGGGCATGGGGCTGGTTATACAGGGACCCCTCGCCGGCCCTGAGATGCGGCTGCCTCTGGAGCGGGGCTGGTTATACAGTGACCCCTCACTGACGCTGAGATGCCTCTGGGGCTGGGCGCGGGGGCTGGCTGAAAAGCAGGTCCCTGGGGATGGCCCTAGGCAGTTGTAATTCTGCCCCACTTGGCTCTAGGGCTGTCTGGTTTAACTGCCATGGTGCTGTATACGCTGGCTGAGCCCGGCCATGCGGCCACGCTGAATATCACCTGGACCTTCTGTCTGGCCAGTTCACGCTGTCCATAGTGAATGGTGAGTGAGGGAGCGGGGGGTTGGGGGGGGCAGGCCATGGGGGCAGGGCTCCCTCATCTGTCATCTCTACAGCGGAGCACCTTCCCAGGGCTGGGGTATCTCCCCCTCCAGCCTCCAAAGCACCTTGGGGGCTGGTTATCCAGGGATCATTCACTGAGCACTGAGATGCGGCTGCCTCTGGGGTGGGGCACGGGGGCGGGTTATCCAGGGACCCCTTGCCCGGTGCTGAGCTGTGTTCTTTTCTCTCGTCTATTCAGGTGTTTTCAGCTTGCTCACGCATGTCCTGTACCCCGAGCCGGGGCCCCAGCGCTGCCCATGCCCCGTCCCTGGCGGGCGAAGCCAGTGACCGGCCTGGAGACGGACCCTGGGCGGGGGGCATGGGGTGGGGTGTGTGTGTGTCCCTGCCGCCCCCTGCTCGCCCTGCTCTATATGTGGGCGACCCCTCCGCTCCCAGGGCCCCGGCTCAAGGGGGACCCTGCAAAAATAAATCACTGGCAGCGACCTGCAACTCCGGGCTGCTGACAGCCCCCTGGGGCAGCAGGGCTCAGGCCGGCTTCGTGCCCTGGCCCCACGCTGCTCCCCGAAGCGGCCAGCTGCTGGCATGTCTCTGTGGCCCCCGGCACCGTCCCCGGTGGTGCTTGTGGGCACGGGTAGCGTCCCCCCCGGCAGAGGCAGGGCCAGGGCAGGCGGCCGGCTGAGCCCTGCTGTGCCACCGGCCGGGAGCCACCTGTGATAAGCACCTCCCGGCCCGAGTCTGCACCTCGCACCCCAACCCCGGCCCCAGGGTCAGCATCCCCCTCCTGCACCCAACTCCCTCCCAGAGCCCGCACCCCCTCCTGCACCCCAACCCCGGCCCCAACCCGGAGCCCCCTCCTGCACCCAACTCCCTCCAAGAGCCCGCACCCCCTCCTGCACCCCAACCCCAGCCCCAACCCGGAGCCCCCTCCTGCACTCAACTCCCTCCAAGAGCCCGCACCCCCTCCTGCACCCCAACCCCGGCCCCAACCCGGAGCCCCCTCCTGCACCCAACTCCCTCCAAGAGCCCGCACCCCCTCCTGCACCCCAACCCCGGCCCCAACCCGGAGCCCCCTCCTGCACCCAACTCCCTCCAAGAGCCCGCACCCCCTCCTGCACCCCAACCCCAGCCCCAACCCGGAGCCCCTTCCTGCACCCAACTCCCTCCAAGAGCCCGCACCCCCTCCTGCACCCCAACCCCCTGCACCCCAATCCCCTGCCCATAGCCCCCTCCTGCACCCAACTCCCTCCCAGAGCCCGCACCCCCTCGTGCACCCCAACCCTTGCCCCCGCCCAAAGCCTCCTCCTGCACCAAGCTCCCTACCAGGAAAGACTTGTACACAGGGGCCTCACCAAATCTCATCACCCCTGGCCCACGGGACAGTTAATCCGGCCCTGCCCATCCCGGCCAGCAACACCCAAGGCGCTGTGCTGGGCCCACCCGGTCTCTTGGCCCTTGGGGGGAGGCTTTGGCTCCGTGTCTCCTTCGCTTTGGCAATTTTCTCACCCTCCCCACCTTGGAAACGTGTATTAGCCACAGAACAGCAGCGGCGGCTCTGGCTGGTGTCACCCAAACACCCCCCAGGAGACCCCACTCCCTGCCCAGGGAGAGAACCCAGGAGTCCTGGCTCCCAGCCTCCCCTGCTCTAACTACTCGACCCAACTCCCCTCCCAGAGTGAGGAGAGAACCCAGGAGTCCTGGCTGCCAGCCCGGAAGCAGCCATCATCCTATTGAAGCCAGAGTGGGGGGGTGGGGGGGATTTCTTGTCCCCTTGTCACTGGCGAGTCACTGAGCTGTTTCTGCGAAGCCCCCCCAAGAACCACAGAGACAGGAAGTGGGGGGAGGCGGCCGGATGCAGAGAGAGAAACAGCTCAGAGAGCCAGCGAGAGAAAGGGCGGGGTGTGAGAATGGACAGATGGGTATGGGGGGGGGGGGATAGGTTGATAAAGGATAGATATGGGGTACTCAGGGATGGATGGAGTACAAAGGGATCAGGGTACACAGGGATGGTTAGAGGGATGGATGGGGTACACAGGGATCGGGGTACACAGGGATGGTTGGAGGGATGGATGGGGTACACAGGGATCGGGGTACACAGGGATGGTTGGAGGGATGGATGGGGTACACAGGGATTGGGGTACACGGGGATGGTTGGAGGGATGGATGGAGGTACACAGGGATCGGGGTACACAGGGATGGTTGGAGGGATGGATGGGGGTACACAGGGATCAGGGTACACAGGGATGGATGGATGGGGGTACACAGGGATTGGGGTACACCGGGATGGATGGGGTACACAGGGATCGGGGTACACAGGGATGGACACATACTGCCTCCTCGGACACTCACTCTCCTCACCCAGCCCCACAAGTTGCTTCCTGCTACATATCAGCCCCGCCCCTGTGACCCCACCCGCCGGGGGGGGGGGACAGCCAGGACGTGGGTGCAGCCGCACAGACTGTGCAGGGGACACCCAGGAAGGTAAGGACACATCACGCTCTGCTCCCCCCAACCCCTGCCATCAGCTACGCTCTGGGACCCTCTACACTAAGATGCCTGCAACCATTAGACCCCGCTCCCCTTCCAGAGCCAGGGAGAGCACCCAGGAGTCCTGGCTCCCAGCCCCCTACTCTAACCACTAGACGCAACTCCCCTCCCAGAGCTGGGGACACAACCCAGGAGTCCTGAGCCGTGTGGGTCATGTGGTGGGTCCCCAGTAGCGGAGAGGGGCTGGGGGGGAGAGTCCATGGGGTGGTCATCCGGGGCAATGTGAGGAAGAGGGATGAGGAGCCAGATACTGGGCTGGGGGGTCCATGGGGCTGAGCCGGGGCAGCAGGGAGGGGGCGGAGTGGGATACCAGGCTAGGAGGGTCCATGGAGCTGATCTGGGGCGGCAGCGAGTGGGCAGGATACCGGGCTAAGAGGGTCCATGGGGCTGATCCCCAGGGCGGGGGCCGCAAGCTGGCTGAGGGGGGCTGGGTTTGCGTGGGTCCCAGGCTGACAGGAAGGTGTAAGAACAGCTCGGGGAAGTGGCTGGGGTGTGAAAAGCAGTTGCGGAGAGCTACGCTAACCACTAGAGAACACTCCTCCCTGCCCCCACTGGGGCTAGAGAGAGACCCAGGCGTCCTGGTTTCCAGCCCCCCTCACTCCCTCTAGCTGCTAGGCCTCACTCCCGTCCCAGAGCCAGGGAGAGAACCCAGGAGTCCTGGCTTCCAGCCTCCCTCCCTCTAACCACTGGCCCCCACTCCCCTCCCAGAGCTGGGGATAGAACCCAGGAGTCCTGGCTCCCAGCCCCCCCACTGCAGCAGATTGACTCAGCGGGGCCCAGCTGGGATGCTGGGCTGGGGGGTGGGGAAGGGGCTATGACAGCGAAGGGGCAGGGGTGTCCCCCAACGCCAGGGCTCATGCACCCAGCTCGGGGTTCCTCTTGCAGGTCCGGTAGCCAGGACGCTGCCCGGTGGCCCGGCTCGCGGGAGATGCAGGCCTGCGGCGTGGGGAGCTGCCTCCTGGCCACGCTCAGCCTGGTGCTGCTCTGCGTGGCTCTGTCCACCGACTACTGGCTCGTGGCCTACGGCCCCAGGGGCACGGCCCACAGCGGGCTCTGGCAGGAGTGCATGGCCAATGCGTGCAGGAGCCCAGACCGCATCACCGGTGAGGAGACGGCCGGGGCTGGGATGCGGCCCCCTCTGGGGTGTGGCGTGGGGGGCTGATTTTCCAGGGGCCTCTCACCCAGCGCTGGGATGCGGCCACCTCTGGGGTGTGGCGCGGGGGGTGTTTATATGGGATCCCAGGCCTGGTGCTGACACATGGCCATCACTGGGGTCAGGAAGGGGGCTGGTTTTCCAGGGGCCCCTCACCCAGCTCTGGGATGCGTCCCCCTCTGGGCTGGGGCGGGGGGGCTGGTTACAAAAGGACCCCTCACTGGGCGCTGAGATGTGGCCCCTCTGGAATGGGGCTTGGGGCCCCTTGCCCAATCCTGGAGCGTACAGACAGCTCTGCCGATGCCCCTCACTCCCGACCCGCAGCCCCCCGCGCTCCACCCCCCTCGTTAACCCTTCGTGTCCCTGCCCCCCCACAGGGTATATACAAGCCACACGGGCCTTCCTGATCCTGGCCACGCTGGCCACCGCCGCGTCCGTCCTGTTCCTCCTGGTCTCCCTCACGTCCTGCCTCCACAGCCCTGTGAGCACCTACCTCCTGGCTGCCATCACTGGCTTCGCCGCCGGTAGGGACTGGGCTCGGGGCCTGTCCCCTGGGGGAGGCGGGGGCTGGTCCGGCCACAGGGCGGGAGGGGGGTTGGCCGGGGGGGGGGCAGGGAATGGGGCACGGGACCTGTCCCCTCTAGGGGGTGCCAGCTCTCATCCAGCCCCAGGGTGGGGGACTGGCTGTCTCAGGGGGTCCGATCTGGCCCCACTGGGGGAAGGGATGCTGTCTCAGGGGGTCCGATCTGGCCCCATGGGGGGGAGACTGGCCGGCTCGGGGGCTCTAACCCCTCCCCCCCCCGCAGGCAGCTGCACCCTCATTGCCATGGGGGTGTTCAGCGGCGAATCGTGGCACAAGAACTCGGACAGGATGATCCAGCTGACCTTCGAATGGTCCTTCTACCTGGGCTGGGCCGCCCTGCCGCTGCTGGGCCTGGGCGGTGAGCGCCGGGCCGGGGAGGGGGCGCTGTGGGGAGCGGGGTGCTAGGGGGCATGGTGGGAGGGGGCGCCCTGGGAAGCCAGGGCAGGGAGTCACGGCAGGGCAGGGTGCTGGGGGGAGAGGCCAGGGGATGGGGTGCTGTGGGGAGCGGGGCAGGAAGCCATGGGGGAGCAGGCGGCGGGGGAAACTGGGGTAGTGGGGGGCAGGGGTGCTGTGTTGGGGGGAGGAGGCTGGGGGGCTGCAGGGAGGGGATGCTGCGCAGGGCGAGGGGAGGAAATCGGGGGAGGGGGCGGCACTGTGAGGGCAGGGCGCTGTGGGGCAGGGGGTACTGGAGGGGGCTGGGGGGCTGTCTCCAATCTCCCCCATCTCCCCGCAGGTGCCTTCGCCCTTGTGGCCCACAAGCGCCACTCGGGGTACGAGAGTGTGTGACCGGAGACCCGGAGATATGGGGGACTGGATAGACCCCCCCAAAAGGCCGCTGCTGTCCCCTGCTGGAATGGAGCCGGCAGCCCTAGAGGGGAAAGGCCCCGTGCCCCATTCCCTGCCCCAGCCAGTCCCCGCCCGCTGCCGTGGGGCTGGAGGGCTCCCGTCCGTGGTTTTAGGGTCTGTTCTTCCTCGGGCCTTTTCCTGCTTTGAAATAAATTGTACCTCTGCATCCAAACCCCGTCTCCCCCCAGTTACCGGCCCCAGAGCGGGGATCGGGCCGGGTGGGCCCCGGGGCTGATCGGGGGGCAGCCTGGAGCACGGGGGTTCCAGAATCTTGGGGTTACCATGGGAGTCAAGACGTGATTAGAGCCAGGGGAGGGGGAGCCTGGCTCTTTGGCTCTAACGATTAGGACAGACCCCGAGGGATACCTGTCCAGTGCCCAGCGGTGGGGAGTCCCGGGGGTTAACCCCCCCCCAATGCCCAGCGGCAGGGAGTCCCGGGGGTTAACCCCTCCAATGCCCAGTGGCAGGGAGTCCCGGGGGTTAACCCCGCAAATGCCCAGCGGCAGGGAGTCCTGGGGGTCAAGCCCGCCAGTGCCCAGCGGCAGGGAGTCCTGGGGGTTAACCCCACCAATGCCCCGTGGTGGGCAGTCCTGGGGGTTAACCCCGCCAATGCCCAGCGGTGGGCAGTCCTGGGGGTTAACCCCGCCAATGCCCAGCGGCGGGCAGTCCTGGGGGTTAACCCCGCCAATGCCCAGCGGCAGGGAGTCCTGGGGGTTAACCCCGCCAATGCCCAGCGGTGGGCAGTCCTGGGGGTTAACCCCGCCAATGCCCCGCGGTGGGCAGTCCTGGGGGTTAACCCCGCCAATGCCTAGCAGCAGGGAGTCCTGGGGGTTAACCCCACCAATGCCCCGTGGCAGGGAGTCCTGGGGGTTAACCCCACCAATGCCCCGTGGTGGGCAGTCCTGGGGGTTAACCCCGCCAATGCCCCGTGGCAGGGAGTCCCGGGGGTTAACCCCGCCAATGCCCCGTGGCAGGGAGTCCCGGGGGTTAACCCCGCCAATGCCCCGTGGCAGGGAGTCCCGGGGGTTAACCCTACAGGTTTTTCAGCGTTTCTGTGCCTGGTCCCCCCTGTCTATGATGGGCTCCAAGCTGGGGGCAGCCGGGCTCTGTTTCTCCTGCGTGGCGACCGTCCTGCTGGCGGTATCCGCTGCCACCGAGTCCTGGCTCCGGCTCTGGGTCCTGGGCATCATCATTCACCGGGGTCTGTGGAGGGAGTGTCAGCTGGAGGCCTGCACCCCCCTCCAGGGCCAGCGAGGTAGGGACATCGGGTTAACCCTGCTCTTATCCAGTGGCAGGGAGTCCCACTGGTTAAACATGCTCTTATCCGGTGGCATGGAGTCCCACGGGTTAACCCAGCTCTTACTTAGTGGCAGGCCGTGACCCGGCTTAACCCTGCCAATTTAAGGCCCAGTGGTGGGGAGTCCTGCATGCTCCATCATCAGGGAGTAGCTGCATGGGGAAGCTGACTGAAGGAAGAGTGGGGGGCTCAGCTCTACCCCCAAGGAGCAAGCCCTGGGTTCGGGGGGGGGCAGCTCCCCCTTTTCCTCCCCACTTTGCTGCTGTCAATGCCCCGTGCATGGAGTGTTGGGGCCATCCACATGGGGACACGGCAGGGCATGGGGAATAGTCCGGGGGCTGGGTCGAACCCGGACCAGGTGCGGCGGGACCCCAGGGCAGGAGTTGGGGGGGACCCCAGGGCGTACAGACGGGTGGGGGTGACAGGGCGAGCTCTCACTGACCCCCTCCATTTCTGCTCCCCCCCGCCCGCAGCGTATGTGGGAGTATCACGGGGCTGCCTGGTTCTGGCCCTCGTGGCCAGCTACCTCTCCGTGGTGTGTGGGGCCCTGGCGCTCGCCCCCCGCCCGGCCCCCAAGAGACTCGACTGGGCCCGGGGGGCTGCTGCTCTCTGCTTCCTCACAGGTAAGGGGAACCCCCCAAATCGCTCTCCTGCCCTCTGACCCCCAAACTGCCTCCCCCCTTCCCAGCCCTCCTGACCCCCAACATCTTTCTACCCCCCACCCCACCCTCTGACCCCAACTCCTCCCCTGCCCCATCCCCTCTTTCCACACTCCTGATCCCCACCCTCCTGCCATCTGACCCCCCCCCCAGTTCCTCCAGTTCCCCCCACCTTGACTTCCCACCCCCCAGTTCTCCCCAGCCCCACATCTTGTGTCTCGCAGGCACCTTGGCCGTGGTGGCTCTGGGCTGTTTCATGGGCGGATCGGCCGGGGAAGCTGGTGGCAGCTGGGCCTGGTCGCTGGCCGTGGGCTGGGCAGCGGTGCCCGCGGCCGGGTTGGCAGGTGAGCGCCCGGGGGGCGAGGCTGGGGGGGGCACGGAGGAGAAGCGTCTTTCAGCCACGCTGACCCCCCCGATCTGTTCCAGGCACCTGCCACTGCCAGGCCCGGCGGAGGGAGCCACGCTGGCACAGCGGCCCGAGAGGATCGCCCGGCTCGGCGTGATGCCCCCCAAGGCGCTGGGTGCCCCCGTCTGGCCCCCCAAGCGGAGCTATTAAACCCCGTCTGCCGGCCAGAGGCGCCCCGCGGGACTCGGACCGACTCGGCGCCGCTGGTGGTGGGATGCAGCCACCTCTGGGGCGGGGCAGCTGGGGAACAGCCGCGTAGAACGGGCACGGGGGGGTCGATTGCCCGGCGCTGGGGTGAACCCGGGGGCAGCAAACGGACCCGGCTTGGCGGGGGGCCCGGGGGGGCAGGAACCCGGAGGGGGGAGGAGCAAACAGCCCGGACGCCTGGGTTCCCTCCCGAGGGGGCGGGGCTCCAGGGCTCAGGCAGGGTCCCGCCCCGTCAATCTTCAGCCGGGGGCGGCAGAGGCCCGCCCCTCGTGAGTGGCCGCGGGCGCCTGCGTCACGCCGCGCGGCCCGGCGCGTCACGAGGTCAGGCAGCCATTGAGCGGCAGGGGCCCATGCTGCACGCCGATTGGCCGGTGGGTTGAGGCCCGCCCATGGGGCACGGTGATTGGTTTCATGAGAGGCACTGCCCCCTTCGGGATTGGTCAGAAGTTTAAGGCCCGGTCTGGCCGCCGCGATTGGCTGTTTTCGAACCTGTACACGTTCTGATTGGTCGTCTTCGCTCCATCCACCCAATGATAGCGCGGATTGGATTCTTTCTCCTGATTGGACTACCGCGCGGCCTGGCTGCGACTGGCTGAACGCCCCACATGCCGCGTTCCCATTGGCGGAGCCTGAGGTCGCGCCTCCGATTGGATCTCTGGGCTGCCTGCCCTTCAGCCTATTGGCCGGAGTTCTCCAGCCCCGCCCCGGCTCAGGACCCCGCGCCCTGATTGGCTCAGATCCCAAAAGGGGGCGTGGCCAGACGCGGAGCGGAGCAATGGCGGCGTTGCGGGCGCTGGTTGGGGTGAAGCGGGTCATAGACTATGCCGTGAAGGTGGGCGGGGCTCGGATGCCTGGGTCCCTGTCTCGGGGGTGGCGCTCGGACGCCTGGGTCCCTGTCTCGGGCGGGGGGGGGGGGGAGCGCTCGGACGCCTGGGTCCCTGTCTCGGGCGCTCGGACGCCTGGGTCCCTGTCTCGGGGGGGGGGGGCGCTCGGACGCCTGGGTCCCTGTCTCGGGGGGGGGGGGGGGCGCTCGGACGCCTGGGTCCCTGTCTCGGCCCGTTCGGGGGGGGGGCGCTGGGACGCCTGGGTCCCTGTCTCGGCCCCTGTCTCGGGCGGGGGGGGGGCGCTCGGACGCCTGGGTCCCTGTCTCGGGCGGGGGGGGAGCGCTCGGACGCCTGGGTCCCTGTCTCGGGCGGGGGGGGGGCACTCGGACGCCTGGGTCCCTGTCTCGGGCGGGGGGCGGGGCCGCTGGGACGCCTGGGTCCCTGTCTCGGGCGGGGGGGGGGGGGCGCTCGGACGCCTGGGTCCCTGTCTCGGGCGGGGGGGGGCGCTGGGACGCCTGGGTCCCTGTCTCGGCCCCTGTCTCGGGTGGGGGGGGCGCCTGGATGCCTGGGTCCCTCCCTCGGCCCCTGTCTCGGGGGTGGGGGCGCTCGGACGCCTGGGTCCGCGCGGTGACGCTCTGCCCCCCCAGGTGCGGGTGCGGCCGGGCGGCGGGGTGGTGACGGACGGGGTGAAACACTCCATGAACCCCTTCTGCGAGATCGCGCTGGAGGAGGCCGTGCGGCTGCGGGAGCGGCGCCTGCTGCAGGAGATCGTGGTGGTCAGCTGCGGGCCCCCCCAATGTCAGGTACCCCCCCGCCCCCTCCCGGTGCTTCCTGACCCCCCTGCCTTCCTGGTGCCAGGTACCCCCGCCCTCCCGGTGCTTTCTGACCCCCATAACCCCTCTGCCAGGTACCCCCCCAGTGCTTCCTGCCCCCCCAGTGCTTCCTGACCCCCTGTCCGTCCCCCCAGTGCCAGGTACCCCCTGCCCCCTCCCGGTGCTTCCTGACCCCCGTACCCCCCTGCCAGTACCCCCAGTGCCTCCTGCCCCCAGTGCCAGGTACCCCCCGCCCCCTCCCGGTGCTTCCTGACCCCCTGCCTCCCCGGTGCCAGGTACCCCCGCCCCCCCTGGTGCTTCCTGACCCCCCCCCATAACCCCTCTGCCAGGTACCCCCCCAGTGCTTCCTGCCCCCCCCAGTGCCAGGTTCCCCCCTGCCCCACCATTACTTCCTGACCCCTGTCTGTCCCCCCAGTGCCAGGTACCCCCCTGCCCCCTCCCGGTGCTTCCTGACCCCCCCAGTCTCCCCCGGTGCCAGGTACCCCCTCAGTGCCAGGTATCCCCTGATCCCCTTCCAGCCCCTCCCCAGTGCTTTCAGACCCCCTGCACCCCTCAGTGCCAGGTACCCCCCCATGCTTCTTGACCCCCCCCGCTCCTATAGACTCCCCATTCTTCTACAGTCTCCCCCTCCGCCCCCCCCAGTTCCAGGTACTGACCCCCTCATCCTATAGACCCCCCCCACATCCTTTTACAGCCTCCCACTCCCAGTGCCAGGTACCAGCCCCCCTAGTGCCTCCTGAACCCTCCTCTACCTTCTCTGGGCAATGCACCCCCCCAGTGTCTCCTGACCCCCCTCCATCACTCCCAGTGCCAGGTACCCTCCTCTTCCCCCCCACCTGCCAAGTACTGGCCCACCTCTTGCTCTTCCTGACCCCCCAGTTCCAAGTACCAGCCCCCACCCCCTGCCCTACTACAGTCTCCCCACTGCCCTCCCCCCTGATGCCAGGTACCGGCTTTCCCCCCACACCCACCGCATCAGCCCCATTTGCACAAGGACAGGCATTGACCAGCCAGAAGGCAGGCCCTGGGGAGACAGCCCCCGTTCTGGGGTCGGGGGTTACATTATGGGGACCATATGTTGGGTGGGTCAGGATCCAGGGGCTGCCTGGCCTCCCCCTGAATTCTAACTCCGCCCCCTTCAGGAGACCATCCGGACCGCGCTGGCCATGGGGGCTGACCGGGGGCTGCACGTGGAGATCCCAGCCCCCGAGTATGAGAGCCTCGGCCCCTTCCAGGTGGCCAAGATCCTGGCGGCGCTGGCCAAGAAGGAGGGGGTCAGCCTGGTGCTACTGGGCAAGCAGGTGAGTTCCCTTCCCCCACTCAGCCCCACGGGTCCATCTACCCCAGTATCCCGCCTCCTTAGTTGAAACAATAGTAAAGAATGAAATTGTCAGACACATAGAAGAACATAAATTGTTGTGCAAAAGTCAACGTGGTTTCTGTAAAGGGAGATCAAGTCTTACTAATCTATTAGAGTTCTTTGTGGGGGGGGTCAACAAACGTGGACAAGGGGGATCCAGTGGACATAGTGTACTTAGATTTCCAGAAAGCCTTTGACAAGGTCCCTCACCAAAGGCTCTTACATAAATTAAAGTGTCATGGACTGAAGATAAAAAATCCATTGCAATCGACATACTACACTGGCGAGGGTAAGAGACTGTGCCACACACACTCAAAGAAACTGAGGGACCACCTGATCAGCATCCAGTACAGCAGACAGGAGAAGATCAAGAAGGAGCTCTCAAAACTGGAGTGTCTCATACAAAACCAACCTTCCACACACACTTCCACGTGGCTGGACTTTACAAAAATGAGACAAGCCATTTACAACACAGATGTCACTTCTCTACAGGGGAAAAAGGACAGTAAACTATCTAAACTACATGCCACAGGGGGCTACAACAGTGGTACCCTCAACTCATTTAACAATACTGTTAATCTGTCCAATCACACGCTTAGCCCAGCAGAAGAGTCTGTCCTATCTCAGGGACTCTCTCTCTGCCCCACTACCCCCACGAACATGATACAGTTCTGCGGTGATCTGGAAGCCTACTTTCATCGTCTCCGACTTAAGGAATATTTTCAACAGTGCACTGACCCACAGGAACCCTCCTACCAGCACTACAAGAAGAAGAATTCTGCGTGGACTCCTCCTGACGGTTGAAATGACAGACTGGACTTCTACATAGAGTGCTTCCGCCGATGTGCACAGGCTGAAATTGTGAATAAATGGCATCACTTGCCCCATAACCTCAGCCGTACAGAACGCAACGCCATCTACAGCCTCAGAAACAACTCTGACATTATAATCAAAGGAGGTGCTGTCGTATAATGAACAGGTCGGATTAGGAACAGGAGGCTGCCAGGCAACTCTCCCACACCACATTCTACAGGCCACTATCCTCTGACCCCACTGAGGGTTACCAAAAGAAACTACACCATCTGCTCAAGAAACTCCCTGCTATAGCACAGAAACAAATCTACATGGACACACCCCTAGAGCCCCGACCAGGGGTATTCTATCTGCTACCCAAGATCCATAAACCTGGAAACCCTGGACGCCCCATCATTTCAGGCATCGGCACTCTTACAGCAGGATTGTCTGGCTTTGTAGACTCCCTCCTCAAACCCTACTATACCAGCACTCCCAGCTATCTTCGAGTCACCCTCAACTTCCTGAGGAAACTACAATGCGTTGGCTGTAAAGGGTCCTGTGGCACCTTATAGACTAACAGACGTATTGGAGCATAAGCTTTCGTGGGTGAATCCCCACTTCGTCAGATGCATGTCATTGCATCGGTGACCTTTCTGAAAACACCATCCTGGCCACCATGGATGTAGAAGCTCTTTATACCAATATTCCACATGAGGATGGACTACAAGCTGTCAAGAATAGTATCCCTGATGAGGCCACAGCACACCTGGTGGCTGAGCTTTGTGACTTTGTCCGCACCTACAACCATTTCAGATTTGGGGACAACTTGTACCTTCAAGTCAGCGGCACTGCTGTGAGTACCCACATGGCCCCACAGGATGCCAACATTTTTATGGCTGACCTAGAACAATGCTTCCTCAGCTCTTGTCCCCTCCTTTACTTGCGCTACATTGATGACATCTTCATCATATGGACCCACAGGAAGGAGGCCCTTGAAGATTTCCACCTGGATTTCAACAGTTTCCACCCCACCATCAACCTCAGCCTGGACCAGTCCACACAAGAGATCCACTTCCTGGACACTACAGTGCAAATAAGGGATGGTCACATAAACACCACCCTATACCGGAAAACTCCTTCCCACTATACTTACCTACATGCCTCCAGCTTCCATCCAGGACACATCACGCGATCCATTGTGCACAGCCAAGCCCTAAGATACAACCGAATTGTCTCCAATCCCTCAGACAGACACCAACACCTACGAGATCTTTATCAAGCATTCATAAAACTACAACACCCACCTGGAGAAGTGAGGAAACAGACTGACAGAGCAAGATGGCAAGATGGGTATCTAGAAATCACCTACTACAGGACAGGCCCAACAAGAAAAATAACAGAACACCACTGGCCAGCACGTACAGCCCCCAGCTAAAACCTCTCCAACGCATCATCAACGATCTACAACCTATCCTGGAAAACGATCCCTCGCTCTCCCAGACCTTGGGAGACAGGCCAGTCCCTGCTTACAGACAGCCCACCAACCTGAAGCAAATACTCACCAGCAACTACACACCACACCACAGAAACACCAACCCAGGAACCAATCCTTGTAGCAAACCTCGTTGCCTACTCTGTCCCCATCTCTACTCTGGCAACACCATCAGAGGACCCAACCACATCAGCCACACCGTCAGAGGCTCATTCACCTGCACATCTACCAATGTGATCTATGCCATCCTGTGCCAGCAATGCCCCTCTGCCATGTACATTGGCCAAACCGGACAGTCCCTACGTAAAAGAATAAATGGACACAAATCAGACATCGGGAATGGTAACATACAAAAGCCGGTAGGAGAACACTTCAATCTTCCTGGACATTCGTTAACAGATTTGAAAGTAACTCTATTTGAACAAAAAAAGTCAGAAACAGAGTTCAAAGAGAAACAGCAGAACTAAAAATCATTTGCAAACTTAACACCATTAATTTGGGCTTGATTAGGGGCTGGGAGTGGCTGACTTATTACAAAAGCAGCTTTGTGTCTCCTGGAATCGACACCTCCTCATCTATTACTGGGAGTGGACGACATCCACCCGGATCGAATTGGCCCTGTCAGCACTGGTTCTCCACTTGTGAGGTAACTCCCTTCCCTTCATGTGTCGTTATATTTATGTCGGCATCTGTAATTTTCCCTCCATGCATCTGAAGAAGTGGGGTTTTTACCCACAAAAGCTTATGCTCAAATAAATTTGTTAGTCTTTAAGGTGCCACCAGACTCCTTGTTGTTTTTGTGGATACAGACTAACACGGCTACCCCCTGATACATGAGATAAGAGGGAAGATCCTTTCATGGATTGAGAACTGGTTAAAAGACAGGGAACAAAGGGTAGGAATAAATGGTAAATTTTCAGAATGGAGAGGGGTAACTAGTGGTGTTCCCCAAGGGTCAGTCCTAGGACCAATCCTATTCAATTTATTCATAAATGATCTGGAGAAAGGGGTAAACAATGAGGTGGCAAAGTTTGCAGATGATACTAAACTGCTCAAGATAGTTAAGACCAAAGCAGACTGTGAAGAACTTCAAAAAGATCTCACCAAACTAAGTGATTGGGCAACAAAATGGCAAATGAAATTTCACGTGGATAAATGTAAAGTAACGCACATTGGGAAAAATAACCCCAACTATACATACAATATGATGGGGGCTCATTTAGCTACAACTAATCAGGAGAACGATCTTGGAGTCATGGTGGATAGTTCTCTGGAGATGCACACACAGTATGCAGCAGCTGTCAAAAAAGCAAACGGGATGTTGGGAATCATTAAAAAGGGATAGAGGAGAAGACGGAGAATATCTTACGGCCCTTCTATAAATGCATGGTACAGCCACAGCTTGAGTACTGCGTCACATGATGATGATATACTGGCATTAGAAAAGGTTCAGAGAAGGGCAACTAAAATGATTAGGGGTTTGGAACAGTCCCCATATGAGGAGAGATTAAAGAGGCTAGGACTTTTCAGCTTGGAAAAGAGGAGACTAAGGGGGGACATGATAGAGGTCTATAAAATTGAGTGGTGTGGAGAAAGTGAATAAGGAAAGGTTATTTACTTGTTCCCAGAAAATAAGAACTAGGGGCCACCAAATGAAATAAATGGGCAGCAGGTTTGAAACAAATAAAAGGAAGTTCTTCTTCACACAGCGCAGTCAACCTGTGGAACTCCTTGCTAGGAGGTTGTGAAGGCTAGGACTATAAGAGGGTTTAAAAGAGAACTGGATAAATTCATGGAGGCTAAGTCCATTAATGGCTATTTGCCAGGATGGGTAAGGAATGGTGGCCCTAGCCTGTTTGTCAGAGGGTGGAGATGGATGGCCGGGGAGAGATCACTTGATCATTACCTGTTAGGTTCACTCCGGGGCACTTGGCATTGGCCACTGTTGGTAGAGAGGACACTGGGCTGGATGGACCTTTGGTCTGACCCAGTGTGGCCGTTCTTATGTTATGTTCTCCCCGCTCAGCCCCATGGGCCCATCTACCCCAGTATCCTGCCTCCTCCCTGCTCAGTCCCATGGGGCCATCCACCCTGGTATCTCGCCTGCTGTGCCATCCCGGCTTGTGACAGTGCTCCCTGTGGTGGTGGGAAGGGGCCCAAGGAGCCCGTCCAGGGTGTGACTCTCTTTCTCCTTCCCAGGCCATCGACGACGACTGCAACCAGACAGGGCAGATGACGGCTGCGCTGCTGGACTGGCCCCAGGTGCCTGCCCCCATGGAGGGAGGGGGGACAGTGTCCCAGCAGCAGGGGGCTCTGGAGGCTGGGGTGGGGGTGGGGGCTCTCGGCAGCAGGGGGCTCCTGAAGCTGCGGGGGGGAGGGTCCCGGCAGCAGGGGGCTCCGGAAGCTGCGGGGGGGGGGAGGGGGTCGGGGGGGGGTCCCGGCAGCAGGGGGCTCCGGAAGCTGCGGGGGGGAGGGTCCCGGCAGCAGGGGGCTCCGGAAGCTGCGGGGGGGGGGGGCTCTCGGCAGCAGGGGGCTCCGGAAGCTGCGGGGGGGGGGGGGCTCTCGGCAGCAGGGGGCTCCGGAAGCTGCGGGGGGGAGGGTCCCGGCAGTGTAGGATAGTAAGGGCTGGGGGCGAAGGATCCTGGGCCTGTGGGGGCGGGCGGGGGGGGGCCTGGGGGGGGCGCTAACACCCACCTCCTCCCTGTGCCCTGCAGGGGACCTTCGCCTCTGCGCTGACGCTGGAGGGGCAGCAGCTGACGGTGGAGCGGGAGGTGGACGGGGGGCTGGAGAGCATCCGGCTCAGGCTGCCGGCCGTGGTGACGGCCGACCTGCGCCTCAACGAGCCCCGTTACGCCACCCTGCCCAACATCATGGTGAGGGGAGGCCACTTCTGGGGTGGGACAGGGGGCTGTTTATGCAGGGACCCTTCCCCTGGCACGGAGATGCAGCCACTTCTGGGGTGCAATAGCCAGGTAACTGTGACAGGATCCCCGGGGTGCAACCTGGAAATAGCTTTCGGCTGACCCCCTTTCACTCTCCAGCCTGGGCTCTCTGCCCCAAACCCCTCCGGGCCCTGGCGCCCCCCACCCAGCTAGGTCGCGGGAATGCTCCCAGAACCGCTCACCCAGGGCAAGGCCCCGCCTGGCCCCCCACAGCTGTACCCTCCCACCCTGCGCAGCCACCTGGCCCGTGTAAGTTCGTTACCCAACCGGCCCCTCCCTCGGTGTGGCGAGGACATGCACCAGCCTTTGCAAAGCGAGCTGCAGGTTCCCGAGCGCCCCGTTTGAGGGACGAACCCCCGAGAGCTGGATGGTACGGGACTGTAAGTGCTCGCCGGCAGAGGGCAAAGAAACGGGAAGCTAAAGGCCCAATGTCCATCTGACACCGTCTCACCCTGGGCAGAGTTGAGATCTGCCACTTTCTCACCCCGCTGCACGTTCCCGGCCGTAACGCGCCGGTTTCCCTCCGAGACCAGGGCCAGGCTCCTTGGTGGAAGTTGTCTCTTCCCTGCGCCCTGGGTGCTGCCAACGTCGGCGGGGAGGAGAAAGGCCGAGGCAAGGTGCCACCGTCCGCTGTTGTGTCCCCTCAGGCCGTGTGCTCAGCAGACACGGGCCCAGATGCGGCCTGAGCGGTCCCCCGGTGGGGTCGCGTCCACCTGAGCCATGGGGTGGATCCGTCCCCATTGAGCTAAATCCCTTGACTGCAGCTCCCCGGCTGAGCAGGGGTCGGTGAGCGGCCTCCTGGGTGGGGGTCCCCTGTGTGTCACCAGCGTATTTCACGCAGTAAAATCCCATAACCCCCCTACCCCGGGCGGGGGGGTGTTTGGACAGAATAGCAGGTTTCAGCAGGTCGGACAATACCGTACCCGGCCCGCTCCCTGGGGAACATCCCAGCCACGCTTGAGCGGTGAATATGGGGGTCAGCAGGGGCCGTTTGGAGGTGCAGCATGTCACCGGGGCAGCCACATGACACCAGACCACAATATCGGAGTTTGCTGTGCGGGAAATGTCAGGAACTGGATCCTGATGGGACTCCTGGGTTCTATCCCTGGCTCTGGGAGGGGAGTGGGGGGCAGCTGGGAGCCAGGACTCCTGGGTTCTGTCCCCAGCCCTGGAGTGGGGGGGGGGATGGGATCTAGTGGCTAGAGCAGGGGGGCTGGGAGCCAGGACTCCTGGGTTCCACGCCTGGCTCTCTCCCCAGAAAGCCAAGAAGAAGAAGATCGAGGTGCTGAAGGCGTCGGACCTGGGGGTCGATCTCTCCTCCCGGGTGGCCATGCAGCGTGTGGAAGAGCCGCCCCAGCGCCAGGCCGGCGTCAAGGTGGAGACCGTGGACGACCTCGTGGGCAAGCTGAAGGAGGGGGGCCTGATCTGAGCCCCCGGCCGGTGAGTGCAGCCCCTGCCCCGGCAGGGCTGGGCGCGTTCTCCCTTTGCAGATACCGACAGTCCTGGGGAGAGAACCCAAGAGTCCTGGCTCTCCGCCCCCCCCGCTCTAACTACTAGACCCCACTCCACTTCCGGAGCTGAGAGATCATCCCAGGAGTCTGGGCTCTCAGCCCACCCCTGCTCTAACCACAAGAGCCCACTCCCCTCCTAGAGCCAGGGGTAGAACCCAGGAGTCCTGGCCCCTCCCTTCCCCCCCCCCCGCCCCTGGAATCGTTCCCCCAACTGTGGCACTGATCTCTCTGTTTCTCTTCCAGCCCCTCCTGGAGCCGCTGCACCCGGCTCTCCTGCTGCTGTGACGGGCGGTGCCTTGGGGGTCCCCATCCCCGCGACCTGGCACTGCCCCCCCATGACTGTAACCGTGCTGCCTTCCGGCCCTGCCGGCTGCCCCCCCGAGCCGCTGCTCCCTCAGCCCTGTGCTCGGGAACCATAAACCCCGCTGGGTCTTTGGAGAGTCGCTGTCCGTCTGTCCTGCATCCACCCCCCTCTTCTGCCCCAGTCGTGCCTGGGGAGGGGCCCTGGCTTTGGGGTCCCCCCAGACCCAGAGGGGGGACTGAGGGTGGGTTTTGTGGAATAAAGGTGGGGTGTAAGGGACTGGGGGTGGGATTATGGGCAATTATGGGGGTGGGGTTTATTGTAGAATGGGCGTGGCTTGGGAAGACAAGGTCGGGCTGCAGGGGGAAGAGGTGCAGATTATGGGTGGGGCTTATTGGAGGATTGGGGGTGGGATGCCTGGGGGTGGGGCTTATTGGAGGAATGATGCCCAGGAGCTGGTGCAGGCCCCCCAGGGAGGCAGGGACGGGGGCCCCTCCCCAGAGCTGGGAACAATCCCTGGGTGGTTTGGCCAGGTGGCTACTCTCCTCGCTCGCAACCCAGGATCTGGGGCCATTGGAGGAAAAGCAAAGGAGGCGGCTCTTGCTGTTCCCCTGTGGAACTCCCTGCCACTGTGAATGTTCATCCTCCTGCAGGGCTCCACGTGCTGGGCGTAGCAGAGCCCCTGGGGGGCCAGGGGAGATGAGCCCCTGGGGGCGGCAGCCCGGCTCCCACCTCTTCCTCTGCCCCAGTTGGCCCAGGTCAGTGCCCATCCTGCATGAGATGGGCCTCAGCTCACCCCGGCTCCGGGGCCCTGCCTGCTGCAGCCAGCTCCGGGCTGAATTCGTGGGGGGGTGGGGGAGAGCACTTTAAAAATGGGTCCATCAAATCAGTGCTCAGGAGGGGAGGATCCCCCCAAATCCAGTGTGAAAAGGGGGGTTGCAGAGTGTCCTGGCAAGCAGGGGCTGGCCTGGAGGGTGGTCCCCAGGGGGCCATGGGGGGAGCCCTGCAGAGCAAAGGAGGGGGGAAGAGGTTTTGGCTGAACTCAGTGCTAGGGCAGGGGGTGAACGGCTGCCATGGCCCCTTGAACGGGCCCCCTGCTGGGGGGGGGGCTGAGTCCATCTGCTTCCAAGCCGAAGAGGCTGATCACCCCCCCCCCCACACACACACACACAGGTTTCCCTGCCCTGCATGTGCCTGCTGCGGGGGCTCGGCTGACGCACCACCGATGCAGCCACCTCTGGGCTGGAGCAGCCATATACAACGCTGCGGGGACGGTTTGCCCAGCGCTGAGATGCTGCGGGGGGGGCAGCTGGGGAGCGGGGCAGAGAGATGCTGCTGGTTGCTAATTACAGCAGCTGCCGCCTGCGCCGGTGGGGGCTGGTCCCCCCCTACAGAGGAATAACCCCCCCCCAGCCTATTGCTAGAAAGGGCTCTGCCCCTCCCCGGCAGCCTCCTTCCGCCCTCCCAGCCCCCCCGCCTGTGCCCTGCCCTCTGCCTCACCCGCCCTCGGCCCCCCCGCCTGTGCTCCGCACCCTGCCCCCCGCTCCGTGCCCCGCCCCCTGCCCCTCCCATCCCCCCGCCTCTGTTCCGCACCCTGCCCCTCCCACTGCCCAGCCTCTCCCGCCCCTGCCTCTGCTCCGCACCCTCCCCCCCGCTCCCAGCCTCTCCCAACCCCCCCCCCATGCCCTGTCCCCCCCCCCCCCCCCGCCCCTCCCACCCCGCCGGCTTAACCGGTTCCCCGCCTGCAGCGCCGGGAGAGCTGAGCCTTTGTCCGCCCCCCCCCCCCCCCCAGGTGTTTGTGTCTCGGCCCCACTGCCCCTCCCCGCGCCCAGCCAGGTCCCCCCCCGCCCCTGTCATGGCTGGCGTCGCCCGGCTGCTGCTGCTGCTGGGTGAGTGTGGGGGGGGCCCGGGCTAAGGAGGGTCCTGCGGGGTGAATGGGGGCCTGGCCCCTCCCCCCGGACCTACGCGGGGGGAGACACGGTCCCGGAAACCTCAACACGGGACGGAATCGCTCAGGGAAGATTCACCGGAGCCTCCAGGGCTCCCCGGGACCTGCCCCCCCCGCCCCGTAATGACCCCCCCCCCACGGGCGAGGGATTCGGTGCCCACGGAATTGGGCTGGGGGAGGAAAAGGTGCGGGAGAGAACCCAGGAGTCCTGCCTCCCCCCCCCACCCCGCCCCAGCCCTCATTCCAGAGAACCCAGGAGTCCTGGCTCCCAGTCCCCCCCCAACCACTAACACCACTCCCCTCCCACATCAGCAGGCCCCATTTGACCCCCAGGGACTGCATGAATCAGAGCCATGGCTCACTGCGAGGGCCCCCCATCGCTGCCCCCCAGTCCCGGCTCGGTCTGACACAGCCTCTGGCCCCAGGCCCAGCCCACGGCCAGGCTGCAATAGACTGGGGCTGTTTCCAGGGGATTGGGGGTGGGGGTGGGGGGCTCATCCAGCACAGAGCTGCAGCTGCTTCTGGGGTGGGGCAGCTGGGGAACAGCCACACATAACGCCGCACGGGGACAGCTCGCTAGAGATGAGAGCGGGAAGGAAGAAGGATCCTGTGTCAAATCCAGCCACAGGAGGGATCAGGCAGCAGGAAATCCCCCTCCTTGGCTATTGCCAAATCACCAGGGCCAATGCACGGGGGCCTGATGGCCACGAAGGAGCCGGGGGCTGCGGGTCGGGAGTGAGGGGCACCGGCAGGGCTGGGGGGTGGACCCGGGGCTGGGCTGGCAGGGGGCTGCGGGTCGGGAGTGAGGGGCACCGGCAGGGCTGGGGGGTGGACCCGGGGCTGGGTTGGCAGGGGGCTGCGGGTCGGGAGTGAGGGGCACCGGCAGGGCTGGGGGTGGACCGGGGCTGGGCTGGAGGGGGCTGCGGGTCGGGAGTGAGGGGACTGGAGGGCTGGGGGGTGGACGGGGCTGGGTTGGAGGGGGGGGGTCGGGAGTGAGGGGACGGCAGGGCTGGGGGTGGACCCGGGGCTGGGTGGGGGGGCGGGGTCGGGAGGAGGGGACGGCAGAGCTGGGGGTGGACCCGGGGTGGGTTGGCAGGGGGCGGGGTGGGAGTGAGGGGCACCGGCAGGGCTGGGGGGTGGACCCGGGGCTGGGCTGGCAGGGGGCTGCGGGTCGGGAGTGAGGGGCACCGGCAGCGCTGACCTTCTGCCAGGTTTCTCTCCGCATTGATCTATTTTGGGACAAGGCAGCTGCTCCCATCCAGGCTCCTTCTCCCCCGTCCCCGGGCCGCTGGGTCCCTGACTCACCCAGAGGCGGGTGGGGAGGAGATCTGAGGCTGGGGGCTCTGCAGGGAGCTGAGGGGGCCAACGGGGAGGAGGGGGCCAGGATGGAGGCTGCAGAATCCAGGCCAAGAACCGGCTGCCAAGGTCATCGCCCTGGAAAACGGCCTAGATAGAGCTTAGCCCGTGCCCCTCACTCCCGACCCGCAGCCCCCTGCCCGCCCAGCCCAGCCCCCCTCTGCTCTGCCGGTGCCCCTCACTCCCGACCCGCAGCCCCCTGCCCGCCCAGCCCAGCCCCCCCTCTGCTCTGCCGGTGCCCCTCACTCCCGACCCGCAGCCCCCTGCCAGCCCAGCCCTGGGCTCCCCCACCCCAGCTCTGCCGGTGCCCCTCACTCCCGACCCGCAGCCCCCTGCCCGCCCAGCCCAGCCCCCCTTCTGCTCTGCCGGTGCCCCTCACTCCCGACCTGCAGCCCCCTGCTAAACCAGCTGCCCTGCCCCACAGTGTTCTGCCGATACCTGTCAGGTCTAGCTCTGGGTGGGGAGTGGCGTCTAGTGGTCAGAGCACAGGGGGCTGGGAGCCAGGACTCCTGGGTTCCATCCCCAGCTCCAGGAGGGGAGTGGGGTCCAGTTGTTTTTGCTGGGGGGAGCTGGGAGCCCGGACTCCTGGGTTCTATTCCTCCATTGCCACTGGCTGCCCATAGCTGGCACGGGGGTGGGCTATGGGTGGGAATCTGAGCAGCTACTTAGCCTGTCTGGGGGGCTACAGCGGATGGGGGGTGGCTGGCAGAGGAGAGGATTCAGTCTCCATGTTGGGGGTGGGGGGAGCTGGACCTGCCCATTGGACAGGCGGCGGGGGAGGGGGAGGGCAAAGACTCCCTGGGACCCCTGGCCGGGGGTGGGGGGGGTGGAACCGAGCCCGGAACTAACCAGCCTCCCTCTGTCTCCCCCCCAGGCACTGCGCTCCCCTTCCCCCTCCAGCTGCCCCCTGGCCCCCTGGCGGTGCTGCTGGGGGGGAACCTCTCGATCCCACTCTCCTACCCCCTGGCCCAGCCGCCCCCCAGAATCGTGTGGCAGAGGAACCAGATGGCGCTGGCGGACGGACACCTGGGTCCCAATGGCTCGGTGGCCGTGGCCCAGGTGTACCAGGGCCGGCTCAGCGTGGACCCCCAAGGGGGGGCGCTCACCATCACCCCCGTGGCCCTCCAGGACACCGGCATCTACACGGTCGAGGTCTTCCCACTGGGGGGCCAGGTGTGGCGGGGAGACGTCCAGGTGGAGGTGTACGGTAAGCGGGGACGGCCCGGATGCCTGGGTTCTATGCCGAACCCTGGGAGGGGAATGGGTTTTAGTGTTGTGGGGGGGAGCTCGGAGCCAGGACACCTGGGTTCTCTCCCCCCTCTGGGAGGGGATCGTGGTCTAGTGGATAGAGAAGAGGGGGGAGGGGCTGGGAGTCAGGACACCTGGGTTCTCTCCCCCTTCTGGGAGGGGATCGTGGTCTAGTGGATAGAGAAGAGGGGGGAGGGGCTGGGAGGCAGGACACCTGGGTTCTCTCCCCATGCCTGTTTCCTTCCCGCAGAGCTGGTAGGGAAGGTCTCTGTGACGCCCCCTTCCCTGGAGGTGACCGAAGGCGCCAGGTTGGCGGTTCTCACCTGCACCCCCATGCGGGGCACCATCTCCTGGACCAAGGATGGGCAAAGCCTGGACCAGGACCCCCGGTTCCGGGTCTCGGCCGGGACCCTCCAGATCAGCTGGCCCAAGCGGAACGACACCGGCAGCTACGACTGCACCGTGTCCAACCCCTTCAGCAACGGCATCGGCATCGCCCAGATCCGGGTCTATTGTGAGCGCAGGCCGGACGCCGGGGTAGATGGGCCTGAGCCGGGGGGCGGGCGGGCTGGGCCCCTCCAGGGCGGGGATCCCGGGCTGCCTGGGCCAAGGGGGCAGCAGGGGAGACCAGACTCGCTGCCCCGGTTCTGACTCGGTTCCCTTCCCAGACGGGCCGGACCCCCCCACGATCCACATCTCGTCGGACCGTGACCCGGAGCCCCAGCGGTACGTCCGGGTGAACAGCACGGTGGGGCTCTCCTGCCGGGCCCCGTCGGACCCCCCCGCCCAGATCTACTGGAGCCTGGCTGACGCCAGCGACCCCCTGGTCCCGGCCCAGCCGGACCTGATGCTGCCCCGGGTCCAGCTCAGCCAGGCCGGGCCCTACTCCTGCCTCGCCAGCAACCCGCACACCCAGCACCGGCTCCGCGCCACCGTGACCCTCACCGTCACCCGTGAGTGCCCTGGGCCCTTCCCCTCCAGGGGGCGCCAGCCCCCATCTGTCCCCAGGGCGGGGGCAGGCTGGCTCAGGGGGCAGGGAATGGGGCACAGGGCCTGTCCCCTCCAGGGGGCACCAGGTTCCCAGCCAGCCCCAGGGCAGGGGATTGGCTGGCTCGGGGGCAGGGGAGGGGTTATGGGGCTGATCTGTTTCTCTCTCTCTCCCCCCCCAGAGATCCCCCCCGGTTCCCCCTCCTGCTCCCTGGACTCCGTGGCCAATGGCACGGCCCTTCGCTTCCGCTGCTCCTGGCCGGGGGGCTCCCCGGCTCCCAGCCTCAGTCTGCAGGGACTGCCGGGGGGTGGGGAGCAGGGCGTCGGCCCCGCCCTCGAGCGAACCCTGAGCTCCCTCCTGCCCGCCCTGAGTGGTACCCGGGTCACCTGCCTGGGGAGACACCTCGCCGCCGAGGGGACCTGCAGCATGACTCCTGGTGAGACCCCAGCCCCAACGCCGGGGGGCAGTACCGGCTTCGGCCACCGGGGGCAGCACCGGGCTTGGGCCCGATGGGTAGGGCGCACGGACCCTGACCCTAACTCTAGGGAGGGGCTGGCACCCCCTGGGGGGAGGGGCAGGGGGTCCCTGCCACATGGGCGGGGCGTGGGCCGTGTCGGCAGCATTGGGGTCCATGGATGGGGGGATGGGAGGAGTGAATGTCCAGTGGGTGGGGCTAGCATCCAGTGGGTGTGGCCTGGAATGTGAGGGTGGAGCTAAAGTCCAGCTGGTGGGGGGCCCGGGCCAGGATGCTATGGGCGGGGCTAGCATCCAGGGGGAGGGGCCAGATGCGATGGGTGGGGCTAGCATTCAGGGGGAGGGGCCAGGATTCTGTGGGTGGGGCTAGCATTCAGGGGGAGGGACCTGGAACGATGGGGCGGAGTTAACGCCTGGCAACTCCACCCAAATCAACCCCGCAACCCTCCCCCTCCCCCCAGAAGCCCCCTCTGGGGTCTCTCTCTCATTCCAGGCCTCCCTGGACCCCGGGGGCACCGTCCTGCTGGATCTGCAGTGCCAGGGCACCTACCGGCCTGTGGAGATCACCTGGGCCCGGCACGGGGAGCCGCTGGGTCCGGGTGGGCGGTACCGGGTCAGCGCCGACGGGGCCCGACTCACCATCAGCAACTTCACGGCCCCGCAGGACCTGGGGGGCTACTCGGTGCGGTGCCAAAACCCGCTGGGCTCGCAGGAGAGTAACCTCACGCTGACGGGTGAGAACCCAGGAGTCCTGGCTCCCTACCCCCCTCCGCCACTGCTGTAACCGCTAGACCCCACTCCCTTCCCCGAGCTGCGGATGGAACCCAGGAGTCCTGTCCACACAGATCAGGGGCACAGGCCCCTGCCTCTAACCCTCCCTCCTCTGTGCAGGTCCCTCCATCTCCGGCTGGAGCCTGGCGCGTGGTTCGGAGCCCGGCTCGGCCCGGCTGAGCTGGGTGGTGCCGGAGGGCTCCGTGGTCACTGGGTTTTGGATCCAGGTCCAGGGGCCCCCCGGGGGCCGGGCGGCTGGGGTGTGGCAGACGCTGCAGACACTAGGGGGCGCCACTCGCTCCAGCACCGTGGTGGGGCTCCAACCCCAAACCCCCTATTCCTTCCGGCTGCTGCCCCTGCTGGGAGACCAGGCTGGGGAGCCCAGCCACACGCAGACGCTCCCATCCGGTGAGTATGGGGGGCTGGGAGCCGGGACTCTGGGAGGGGAGTGGGGTCTAGTGGTCAGAGCAGGGGGGCTGGGAGCCGGGACTCTGGGAGGGGAGCGGGATCTAGTGGTCAGAGCAGGGGGGCTGGGAGCCGGGACTCTGGGAGGGGAGCGGGATCTAGTGGGTTAGAGCAGGGGGGCTGGGAGCCAGGACTCTGGGAGGGGAGTGGGGTCTAGTGGGTTAGAGCAGGGGGTGCTGGAAGCCCGGACTCCTGGGTTCTCTCCCTGTCTCCTCTCTCCCTGCAGCCTCTACCCTGGGCCCCGGCGCCATTGCAGGCATCGTGTTGGGCTCGATCCTGGGCATGATCCTGCTCCTTGCCCTCCTCGTGCTCCTGATCTGGTTCCTCCGGGCGCGATGGGGTGAGTCCGAAGCCGGGGTCCCCCTGCCCCCAGAGCATCCCAGGAAGGAGGTCTGGGGGCAGGATACACTGCTCTCGGCCAATCAGATGCAAGGGTAGAATTGCTGCCCTGCTCCTAGCCAATGGGAGGGAGGGCTGGTTTTATCCAATCAAATGCAAAGATTGGAATCACTGCTATGCCCGCGGCCAATCAGAAGACAAGTGGGGGTGGGGTTGCTTAGGTATGTGCTGACCAATCAGATGCAGGGATGGACATTGAGCTGTTTCTAGCCAGTCAGATGCAAGGGGTGAGATTTTTCCCCAGGCTTTGGCCAATCACACGGCAAGGGGGAGTCACTGTTTGTTGGCCAATCAGTTGCAAGGGGGCAGAGTCAATTAGATGTTGTCCAATCACAGCCAAAAGGCAGAATTATTCTCCTGTTCTCAGCCAATCAGATGCCAGGATGGGCTTAGTGGCCTTCTACTGCCCAATGAGGAAGAAGGGGCCATTGTCATTGGCCAATGAGCACCAGCCATTGTCCAATCCAAATGCACTGGCTCTGGCATTATCCAATTGGAATTTGGGGGGAGACACAGGCCTTCGGGCACCAGCCAGTCGGAATTCACTGTTTCAGTTGGGGTGGGGGAGAGGGGGCTGGTACCGGCCAATGGAAATTCAGGGAGATGGGAGGGGGGGGCGGTGCCTTGGCACCAGCCAATGAAAAGAAAGGGAATCAGTCAGTGGTATTACCACCAGCCGATGAGAATTGAGTGTTCCTGGCACCAGCCAATCGGGCTCCTTTTCTCCATCCTAGGAAAGCAGGAGAAGATGCCCCTGACCCCACCCGGGACCCACCAGCATTACCTTCCCCGTCAGGTGAGAGTGAGGGGGCGGGGCCAGCTGGGGGGCAGGGCCTAGAGCTGGGTTCTGCAGATGATGACTTGCCCGTGCCTCAGTTTCCCCATCCTGAAGCGGGACGCTGACGGCGGGTTGCTCTGTTCCAGTTCCCGAACGGGAGAGAGTCTGACCCTGTCGAGCCCCCAGCACCCCCCTCCGGGGCATCTTTGCGCTGCTCCTGGGGGGATGGCAACCTGTCCTTCATCAGCTACGAGGACCATCTGCGCATCCACGGCCCCCCTGCCTCTGGGGTAAGTGCCCCCCCCCCCCCGCAGCATGGCAAAACCTACTGAGTCCCCACCCCACCCCCATTCAACCCTCGCCCATCCCCCCAGCACAGCGCCCCCTGCTGAGCCCCCATCCTGCCCCCTGAAGCACGGCGCCCCCTGCTGAGCCCTCGCCCATCCACCCAGCACCCTTTTGTCCCCCCCTTGCAGCACAGCGCCCCCTGCTGTGCCCCCTAGCGCTGCTCGGGGGCATCGGGCAGCCCTGACTGCTAGGGGAGAGCCCCCACCCTGCCAGTACGTCTCTCATTCACCTTCCTCTTCCCAGCCCGGGTGTCCTGGAGACGGCCGGGGCCCCGGGCTCCCATCTCTGGCCAGTGGGCAGGGCCCCAGGACAGCACGCAGCGCCACGCGGGTGTGACTGGCCCAGGAGATCCGGCGTGGGAGCCAGGCGTCCGGGAGAGCCTTATAGGGGCTGAGTGCCAGCAATGAACCCAGGCGTCCGGGAGGCACCTATAGAATGGACTGAGCCTGCATAGGACGAGGCTCCATGGGCACGGTCTGGGCTCCCTGGAGTGTTCCCTGGCCCTGTGCTGGCCCCCCAACCTCCCCAGAACAGACTATGGGACTAGGAGGGGTCCACAGGCCTCGACTGGGAGAAAGGGACTGGCCTGGAGGGGGCGGGACTTCCTGTCTTTCTTGATGTGCTTGGGAAGAGGGTGGGACTTCCTGTTTTTGCAAATTATCTCAGGTTATACATAGCTCTGATTAGATCTCTGGAGAGAGAGAGAGAGAGAGAATTACGACTGTCTGTGCCTGCATCCCCCATCCCCATCCGTACCCCTCTGTCCACTCATCCCTCCATCCGCGTCCTTCCTTCCATCCCCATCCACCCGTCCCTCCATCCGCATCCATCCATCTCCATCCCCATCCGTACCCCTCTGTCCACTCGTCCCTCCATCCGCGTCCTTCCTTCCATCCCCATCCACCCGTCCCTCCATCCGCATCCATCCATCTCCATCCCCATCCGTACCCCTCTGTCCACTCATCCCTCCATCCGCATCCTTCCTTCCATCTCCATCCACCCGTCCCTCCATCCGCATCCATCCATCTCCATCCCCATCCGTACCCCTCTGTCCACTCATCCCTCCATCCGCGTCCTTCCTTCCATCCCCATCCACCCGTCCCTCCATCCGCATCCATCCATCTCCATCCCCATCCGTACCCCTCTGTCCACTCATCCCTCCATCCGCGTCCTTCCTTCCATCCCCATCCACCCGTCCCTCCATCCGCATCCATCCATCTCCATCCCCATCCGTACCCCTCTGTCCACTCATCCCTCCATCCGCATCCTTCCTTCCATCCCCATCCACCCGTCCCTCCATCCGCATCCATCCATCTCCATCCCCATCCGTACCCCTCTGTCCACTCATCCCTCCATCCGCATCCTTCCTTCCATCTCCATCCACCCGTCCCTCCATCCCCATCCACCCGTCCCTCCATCCCATCCATCCATCTCCATCCCCATCCGTACCCCTCTGTCCACTCATCCTCCATCCCGTCCTCCTTCCATCCCCATCCACCCGTCCCTCCATCCGCATCCATCCATCTCCATCCCCATCCGTACCCCTCTGTCCACTCATCCCTCCATCCGCATCCTTCCTTCCATCTCCATCCACCCGTCCCTCCATCCGCATCCATCCATCTCCATCCCCATCCGTACCCCTCTGTCCACTCGTCCCTCCATCCGCGTCCTTCCTTCCATCCCCATCCACCCGTCCCTCCATCGCATCCATCCATCTCCATCCCCATCCACCCCTCTCCTCATCCCTCCATCGCTCCTTCCTTCCATCCCCATCCACCCGTCCCTCCATCCGCATCCATCCATCTCCATCCCCATCCGTACCCCTCTGTCCACTCATCCCTCCATCCGCATCCTTCCTTCCATCTCCATCCACCCGTCCCTCCATCCGCATCCATCCATCTCCATCCCCATCCGTACCCCTCTGTCCACTCCATCCCTCCATCCGCATCCATCCTTCCATCCCCATCCGTCCCCTCTGTCCATTCATCCATCTCCATCCCCATCCGTTCCCTCTTCCACTCATCCCTCCATCCCGTCCTTCCTTCCATCCCCATCCACCCGTCCCTCCATCCGCATCCATCCATCTCCATCCCCATCCGTACCCCTCTTTGCACTCATCCCTCCATCCGCGTCCTTCCTTCCATCTCCATCCACCCGTCCCTCCATCCGCATCCACCCGTCCCTCCATCCCCATCCACCCGTCCCTCCATCCGCATCCATCCATCTCCATCCTCATCCGTACCCCTCTGTCCACTCATCCCTCCATCCACATCCTTCCTTCCATCTCCATCCACCCGTCCCTCCATCCCCATCCACCCGTCCCTCCATCTGCATCCATCCATCTCCATCCATCTCATCCCCTTTCCCTCCATCCACATCCTTCCTTCCATCCATCTCCATCCCCATCCTCCCACATCCCTCCCCCCATAACACCCATCCATGCCCCCCCCCCCCGCTGTGACACCGTTGCAGACTCCGGGTTTGGCAGGGGGGCGGGAGGTTGACGGCGGGAGCTCGTTTCGGCAGCGGGCGCCGCTGTCACAGGGGTTGATCTATTTTGCGCGTAACAGCCATTTCTATTTTTAACAACATGATTTTGGAACTTTTCTTGCCCATCAAGCTCCTCCCTCCGGCGGGTGCGGTGGAGGCTGGTGTCTGTTGACTCCCTAGAGCAGCCTGAATCCACAGGGAAAGACTTGCCACTGAGGCACGTTTTCTTTTAAACACGATTAACCTGTGGAACTCCCTCCCACATGATATGAAGGCCAGGAAGAGCCTGAAAGGACAGGAGGTGCCCCTTTCTCGGGGCAGGAACGAGCCCTTCTGTGTGTGTTTTCCTAGCTGCAGCCCACACTGACCCCCCCTCTCAACACCTCCCCATAGGGTCCCCCAAACTCCAGCTCGCTGCACCCCCCTCCTGCACGGACAATCCGTCCCCTCCAGACTGACGGACCCTGGCTTTGAATCATGACCCCAGCGTGGAGGGTCGGGGGGGGTGGCAGCCCCCAGACTGGCTGATCCATGGGGCAGAAGGGAGTGTAACAAACCAGGGCAGGATGGAGGGGCTTAATTCATTTAACCCCTTGGCTTCAGAGAGAAAGGAGGGGGGACCGACGCCAGAGCAACGCAGTTAGGAGAGATGAAGGGGAAATAAGAGAGACCCTAAAGTTGGAGCGGGGGGCTGCGGGTTGGGATTGAGGGGCATCAGCAAAGGGGTGGGGGGCAGGACTGGGATATGGGTTATGGGATCTCTGCACATAGAAACAGGTGCAAACAACCAATAATAGAGCCCCAGAGTCCTGGCTCCCCCCCCCCCCCGCCTCCCTCCACCACACTAGACCCCACTCCCCTCCCAGAGCCAGGGATGGAACCCAGGAGTCCTGGGGGTGGGGGGCTGGGCGAAGGGGGGTCTGTGTCCACGCCGTGGGGGGTTCCCGTTGTTAGGCCCCGCTGAGTGGCAGTTTCCTGCCAGCTTCTTGTCCCCCCAACCCCCGCCACCGTACTGCCCCCTCCCGCCCCACACATGCTAGCCTCGCCCCCTCCCCCTCCCCCAGCCCCGAGTCAACAGTTCCCAGCATCCTGCAGGGCTCTGCCAGTGCCCCTCACTCCCGACCCACAGCCCCCCTGCTCCCCCCTCTCCCCCGCCCCCCAACTCTGCCGATGCCCCCCACTCCCAACCCGCAGACCCTGCTAGCCCAGCCCTCTGCTCCCCCTGCCCCCCAACTCTGCTGATGCCCCTCACTCCCGACCCGCAGCCCCCCTGCTCCCCCAGTGCTGGGCTCCCCCCGCCCCCCAGCTCTGCCGATGCCCCTCACTCCTGACCCATGGCCCTTGAAAAAGATGGCGGCTCCCTTTCCAGTGGCTGGAAAAGCAAATTCTCTGGCCTGCTGGGCCCGATCCTGCCCCCCTGGGCTCTGCGGCTCGAGGGGAAATAGCCAGAAAGAGAAATACAGGGTGGGGCAGTGGGGGGGGGGGTCGTCTCAGCTTGTGCACCCACCGGGCCCATGGCATCCCCCATCCGCCACCTCCCTGGGTGCCCCCTCTAGTTCAGGAACCCCCACCCTATGCTGGGGGGATTCTGTGCCCCCCCAGTGCCCGTCCCCATGCCAGGGGCTCCCCCCGATTTTATTCTCCTTCCCCCTCCTTTCTTGCTCCCCTCCTGCTTCCCCACCCCCCTTGGAGTGCCCCTGGGGGCACTCACACAGCCCCTCCCCCGCCTCCCCCACCACCCCCCAGGGCGGAGTGGGTGTTGGGGGTGACCCCCACCCTGGGGCGTGTGACTGTGACACCCAGCCCCCCAATGGACGTACCCGCGTCCACCCTCCAGCCATCCTCCCTCTGCCCCCATCCAGCCCGCCCCTCCCCCATCCATCCCCTCCCCCCACTATCCATCCACCCCCCCCCCCCCGCAACCATCTATCTCCGTACACACCCCTTCATCCAGCCTCCCCCCCCAGGAACAGAAGAACGGCCACACGGGGTCCGACCAAGGGGCCATCCAGCCCAGGGTCCCGTCTGCCGACAGTGGCCAGTGCCCGGTGCCCCAGGGGGAGCGACCCGAACAGGGAATCATCCAGTGACCCACCCCCTGGCGCCCATTCCCAGCGGCTGGTAAACTGAGGCTCGGGGCCCGACCCCCCACACCAGACGCCAGGCCTGCGTTGCTGCTTTTATTGCATTTTATTGGAAAAAGGATTCTCAGGATTTATTTTTTATGGTTTTTTTTTCACGTCGTCCCCCCTCCCCACGGAGTTTTGACAAATGAAATGAAAGGGGGTTTGGATCAAAGGAAAATTGAGCGAGAGACCCCAGAGAGTCCCTCGCGAGGGGAGCATGGGTGGGGGGGGAAGAAATGAGCCGCCCCCACGGCCCCAGACCCCCAGTGGCAATGGAAGACAAAGTGGCTTTTTAGTGGTTTCTTGCAATAAAGTCCCCCCCACCCTTTTTTTTTACAATAGTTTTTTTGTCGTTTTTTCCCATTTGTGTTGCAAACGTTGAGGTACAGAATCGAACTGCATGGCCCTGCCCCCCGTGAGCCTCTGGGCTGGGCCTGGCCTCCTTTGGGGGCTCTGCTGCGGACCCTGCGGCCTGCCCCAGTCCTTCCCTGCTGCATTCCTCCTCCCCGGTCCCTTCTCCGTTCCCTCTCTCCTGGGCTACCCCTCCGCTCCCTCCTCTGCTCCATTCCTCCTCCCGGTCCCTTCTCCGTTCCCTCTCTCCTGGGCTACCCCTCCGCTCCCTCCTCTGCTCCATTCCTCCTCCCCGGTCCCTTCTCCGTTCCCTCTCTCCTGGGCTACCCCTCCGCTCTCCCTCCTCTGCTCCATTCCTCCTCCCGGTCCCTTCTCTGTTCCCTCTCTCCTGGGCTACCCCTCCGCTCCCTCCTCTGCTCCATTCCTCCTCCCCGGTCCCTTCTCCGTTCCCTCTCTCCTGGGCTACCCCTCCGCTCCCCCCTTCGCCCATTCCTCCTCCCGGTCCCTTCTCCGTTCCCTCTCTCCTGGGCTACCCCTCCGCTCCCTCCTCTGCTCCATTCCTCCTCCTGGTCCCTTCTCCGTTCCCTCTCTCCTGGGCTACCCCTCCGCTCCCCCCTTCGCCCATTCCTCCTCCCGGTCCCTTCTCCGTTCCCTCTCTCCTGGGCTACCCCTCCGCTCCCTCCTCTGCTCCATTCCTCCTCCCAGTCTCTTCTCTGTTCCCTCTCTCCTGGGCTACCCCTCCCTCCCCCTTCGCCCATTCCTCCTCCAGGTCCCTTCTCCGTTCCCTCTCTCCTGGGCTACCCCTCCGCTCCCTCCTCCACTCCATTCCTCCTCCCGGTCCCTTCTCCGTTCCCTCTCTCCTGGGCTACCCCTCCTCTCCCTCCTCTGCTCCATTCCTCCTCCCGGTCCCTTCTCCGTTCCCTCTCTCCTGGGCTACCCCTCCGCTCCTTCACCCATTCCTCCTCCCGGTCTCTTCTCTGTTCCCTCTCTCCTGGGCTACCCCTCCGCTCCCTCCTCCTCGCCCATTCCTCCTCCCGGTCTCTTCTCTGTTCCCTCTCTCCTGGGCTACCCCTCCGCTCCCTCCTCCACTCCATTCCTCCTCCCGGTCTCTTCTCTGTTCCCTCTCTCCTGGGCTACCCCTCCGCTCCCTCCTTCGCTCCATTCCTCCTCCCGGTCTCTTCTCTGTTCCCTCTCTCCTGGGCTACCCCTCCGCTCCCTCCTTCGCTCCATTCCTCCTCCCGGTCTCTTCTCTGTTCCCTCTCTCCTGGGCTACCCCTCCACTCCCCCCTTCACCCATTCCTCCTCCCGGTCCCGTCTCCGTTCCCTCTCTCCTGCCCCACCTCACGTATTCCATTTCTCCTTCCTCCATTCCTCTTTTCACTCCCTGCTGCATTCCCTTCATCCTGCTGCTCCCCTTTCTCTCCTCCATTCCTCTTTCCTCCTTCTCCACCCCCCTCCCAGTGCAAGGTGCACCCCAGCTTCTCCAGCCGCCCTCCCACCCTTAACCTGCCCCCCCGGGCCTGAGATTCTAGCAACACCCTGAGGTGGAGAGAACAAGGACTCCCCCATCTAGGTCACCTGCAGCAGCCACTCAGCCCTTCAAAGCTCTTGCCCCCCCCCATCAGCTACTCCCACCCCTTGCCAAAACCAGCCCACCTCCCTGGCTCTGGGAGAAACCAAGTCAGGAGCCAGCCGCTGCTTTGCACGAGCTCCAAGCGTACAAACCAAAAAGGGGTCAAGTGGGTGGTTTCCCCTTCTCTATCTGTGTTTTGCACGGTGTTAACACCTGGCTTGCACAATGCTAATTTCTGTTTCCACAGTCCGCACACCCTGATCACACCGGCTTTGCACAGTGTTGACACCTGTTCATACATTCGGTACACCATGGTTACACTTGCTTTGCACAATGTTTACACGCTGTTTACACATACTTTACATGAGGTTTACAGATGTCTTGCCCCAGGTTTACACTCAGTTTACATGTGCTTTATGCATGTTTACATACGCTTGGCTGAGAGTTTACACCACATTTACCCGTACTGGCCATGCCGTTTACCTGTGCTTTGAAAACAGGGCGTGACATGTATTTTGCACAGAATAGACACACTCCCTGCACCGGCCTTGCACAGTTTACCTGTGGCTGACACTTTACACCTGGCTTACATGCAGGTTGCAAAACCTTTACACCCAGTTTTACATGTTCACACGTTCTGTGGGTGCTGTTCTATACCTCGTTTACACAGAGTTGACAAGTAGTTTGCACAAAATTATCATTTGGCTTGCACGTACTGTACCCGAAACATACACCATGTTTACGTGTGGCTTACACTTGGTTTACTCATGTTTACATGCTCTTGTGCATGTGGTTTCAACCCTGTTTAGATGATGGTCACAAAGTGTGTACACCCTGTTTCACATGCTTTAGCCAGGGTTTAGGTATGTGTTTTTTTGTTTTTTTTTGCCACTAGCTCCCACGCTGCTTGCACGTGCTTTACACAGCACTTACATTTGGCTTGCATGTAACTGACTCATGCTTTACACAGACTGTACAACTCATTTACACGTATTTGCATCTGCTTTACACTGAATGTACACACGCTTTACAGTGATACTGCATGCCCTGTACATAAGCTGGTATACGCAGAAGTTAGGCCTTGCTCCCCCATTGTTTGCACTTAAGTTACTCAGAGTTTGCACCTTGTTTACCTAGGTTTGACCTGTAGTTTACACCTTGTTTGCATGCAGTTTACACCTTGTTCACCCCTGCTTTACAGACAACTTATGCCATGGTTACACATTGCTTGCACCTCCATTGCGCAGAGTTTGCTCCTTGTTTGCACAGGCTTGACACCTGGTTCATGGCTGTGAGCACTTCCTGAGTCCCACATGAACAGCTGTAAATCAAATTCACAACATCCATGTGCTGTAACACCCACCAAACTCTGCACTCACTCACAACAGGGTGTAAATAGAGCGTAACCCCGATGGAGTCACTCCACACTCCCACTGAAAGCAGACGCTGGCTCACATGGGTCTATAAGGACTAGCACGGACATGTACTACATGTGATTCGTCATGTTACGTGATACCGTACGGCACATGGTTTGCACAGATGTGCATATTTACTATCTATAGCTGGCACATGGAGCTCACGTGCTTAGCATGTGTTAGTACACACGAGCTCCATCCCTAGGAATCTCCTTCCTTAGAAGTTTTCAAGGTCCGGCTTGACAAAGCCCTGGCTGGGATGATTTAGCTGGGGTTGGTCCTGCTTTGAGCAGGGGGTTGGACTAGATACCTCCTGAGGTCCCTTCCAACCCTGATATTCCATGATTCTATGATCTCTGTGCATGGCTGTGGCTGACATATTGTTTACATGTGATTTCCACACAGTTAACACGCTTCACTCATGGTTAATGCATGCTTTGCTCATGCTTTACACAGTGGCTTACCCATGATTTGCACGAAGTTTGCACATAGTTTATTTGTGTTTTGCACTGTGTTTACTCATGGTTTGCATATGGCTTACTCATGATTAGCATGTGTCTTGCACATATGGTTCACTCATGAATTACACATGCTTTGCATATGATTTTACACACTGCTCACTCATTGTTTGCAGGTGGTTTACTAGTCTACACGTGATTTACTCATGGTTTACCCACACTTTACACATTGTTTGCACATGGTTTACTCATAGCATACATGTACTTAGATCTTATTCATTGCTTGCAAGTGCTTTGCATTGTTTACACATGATTTACTCATAGCTTCCATATGCTTTGCACACTGTTCACTCATGCTTCACATATGGTTTACTCATTGGTTACATGATTCACTCATCGCTTACATATGCTTTACAAATTGATCGTAGACAGTTTGACACTGTTTGCCAGTACGTTAGCCAGCACTTTCATGTGGCTTGCACACGCTTACAAACTAAGCAGCTAGTTTCGCTGTAAACACAAGGTAAACGTGTGTAAAGCAAGTTAACAACCTCGCAAAGATGATATAAATAGTTACTTCATTCATGTAAACTCAATATTAACACCAAGGGCTTTTAGCAACGGAAATAACAAAGGGTCAGAACCCAGGTGCCAGGGAAAGAATTCAGAAGCTGTATTCTGGTCTACATGCTAGTGCCCCAAAGACACAGGAATGTTGCCAAGTTATGTGGAGTGACTCCAGATTCCCCTGAGGGAAGCTAAGATCCGAATCCAGCCTGAGCTCTGAACCCTCTTGTAACTTGGGCTTTGATCATTCCCACACTGTCCTGGGCGGAGGAAGCCATGTTTTGATCCCATAATGCCATGCAAGCAGTACGAGCCTTCAGGCTGGCGACTGAACCCATTTACACACCCGAAGTAGGTTCAAATCTGCTCCCCTGCCTCAGAGGAAGAGCCCCCATTGCCAGGAGCCAGATCTCAGCTCCTCCCAAGTGCAAGGCCTCGGTTGCCTACCTGGCTTGAGACAGGCCCGACGGGATGGGACGGAGGAAGGAAGGATGGACCGAGGAGCATGGGGGTGGATGGAGGGGTGGATCTGTGGCTAGAGGGATGGAGGGGTGTGTATGGGGATGGATGGCAGACAGAGGGGTAGATCTATGGATGGATGGATGCAGGGGGTGTATGCAGGTGGATGGATGGAGGGGTATTTGGGGATGGTTGGAGGGGTTTGTGTGGAATGGATGGCGGGGTGTGGGGAGGATGGATGGATGGAGGAGTACGTATGCAGATCGATGAATGGATAGACAGACAGAGTAGTGTCTGGGGATGGATGGAGGGATGGAGGACGGGGTTGAGTGGGGATGGATGGATGGACCAACAGACCGAGGGGCGTGTGTGGGAGGGAGGGAGGGGTGTGTGTGGGGATGGAGGGGGTATCTGGGTAGGGTGAAGCTTAGCTCCCTGTCCTGCCTCTCTGGCCCCGCCCACATGCCAGCCCCACTCCGCCCCAGACCCTGCCCATACCCCACCCCTGCTCTGCCCCAGGCCCCGCCCACATCCCACCCCTGCTCTGCCCCAGGCCCCGCCCACATCCCACCCGCTCTGCCCCAGCACCCTGCCCACACTCCACCCCAGGCCCGGCCCCCGTGTGTCCCCCTCCCCGCTCAGCCCCCCCCTCCCCCTCTCCCGCAAGCCCCCCCCGGGATGCGGCGAGTGGCGGGCGAGGGCGCTCGTGGGGGAGGGGTTGAGGAGAGGCGGGACCAGGCGAGCGGCAGGGAGCTGCGGAGGTGGGTAGGATGGAGGAGAGCGGCTCAGACAGGCAGGGCGGGGGGGGGGTCTCGGGGAAGGGGCGGAGCAGGGGCGGGAAGAGGCGGGGCCACCACGGGTGGGCGGCAGCCAGAACGAATCGCACTCCCAGAGGAGCCGATTCCAGACGCCTCGGGGGTCCCTTGGGGGGTGCGATGCGGAGGGGCCGAGCGTCGCCGAGCGGCCGACGCTCTGGGACACCCCACCGCGGCGGGGCCGGGCAAGCACATCGCGCGGTGGCCCCTTCCCTGCCACGGGACGCAAGGCGGGACGGGAAGTACTCGGAGCAGCGAGTTTCCCCTTCCGCCAGCTCCCCGGCCCGCGGTCCCCTCGGGGGGGCGGGGGGGGCCTGCTTCGGACGAAGCCCCAGCGCAGGAAACGGAGCCGCGACGGCCGCCGGGGGCTGGCGGGCGGGACACAGCGTCCAAACGCTCTGCCCCGCTTTCTCCTGACCACGCAAGAGCACCGCCGACTTTCCAGCGAACCTGGCCGGGAAGACGCCCCCAGAGCGAATGGAGCGGCACCCGGATTCGTGATGTGCTGGGGCGATTTGAAGGGCCCGGGAAGATCAGGAGAGAAGCGGCGAGGAGCTCGCTCCAGATGCCAGTCCAATGGGCACTGTGGGTCATGACCCAAACCCCGGAGAATTATCCCGGGCTCCGTCGCTCTCCGGGCAGGAAGGACAGAGTCACGCTGAGCTCGAGTGCAAAGAAGACGGTGGTGGGGGCCAGAGCTAACCGCAGACGGGTCGGCGTTTGCCGGTCGTGCCCACAGCTTGGCGAGATGCGACGTTGGGACAGGACGAGTTCTCCAGGGCGCCACGCTTGCTGTGACGGACAATGTCGTGGCTGCCGGGTGGAAAACGTCCGACACCCGCACCGCGGACGGTACCTTATTCCCGCCGAGCCCTTTCCGCGGGGCCGTCGTGGACGGTCCGGGTGAGGGACAAGCGCTCGGCAAACCAGGAACTGCTAACGCCAGCCGAGATTTGTCTGCTACGAGGCGCCAGGGAAAACCCTGGCCCGAGGACGAAACCCGCCGCGCCTTTGACGCGGATGCAGAGCGATCAGTGGAAACTGCTCCCCGAGAGAAGAGACTCCGCGGTGCGGCCCCTGCCCGGTCCGGAGTCGGTGACGCCGCGAAGGTCCCCAGCGGCCCAGCGAAGACTCGTGCCGAGGCGGCGTCCCCTCGGATCTGGCAGGACGGCGGCTCCACCGTGGGACTTGTCGCCTGGAGAATTCGGCTGGCGCGTGGCGTGACGCAGCCGTTTTCAACCCGGGCTCTGCGGGTTACGCCGATGGGGGCCGCAAATGGAGGTCTGCCGAGCACCGGGGTAAGGCCGCTTGGAGTCGGGCCCCGGCGTCTCTCTCGGGACGGCGGAGACGGTCGTGCGGCGGACGGGGGGAGCGGTTGCCCCCGCTGGCGAGAGGGCAAGTGACCAGGCGGGGGACCGGCTCGGGGAGAAGCCGGCTCCGTGGGTGCTCCAGGGCTGAAGCACCCACCAGCCACGGCTGTTCGGCGGGAGGCTCTTGGGGGAGGCGGCGGAGCAGGGGCGGGAAGCGGCAGATTGTAGGCGGGGCCTCGGGGGAAGGGGCGGAGATGGGGGCGGGGCCTCGGGGGCGCCCTGGGTTCAGGGAAGAGGGGGCTTTCCAGCGATACCCAGCTCGCCCCATTGCCGACGACAGGGTGTTAGCAAACCTGCCACCACCCGCCGGCCACGGAGCCGGGGGGGGGGCAGCGGAGGGAGTGTCCCCCCCTCCGCCGGCCGCAGAGCGAACACCATTGACAGGACGGTCCTGCAGACGTTTACGACTCCAGTGACCCCCCCCCCCCCGGCCCCTTGCTTTGCCTAGATTATCCTGCCCGACCGATGGCGGGGGGAGAGGAGGGGGGAGGGGGGATGGAAGGATGGAGGAGGTGTATGGGGATGGAGGGCGGGACGGACGGACAGAGGGGTGTATCTGTGGATGAAAGGAGGGGTGGGGTGGGGGGGGCCTGGAGAGATGGATGGATGCGTGGGAGGGATGGATGTGGTGTGGGGGGGATGGATTGGGGGATGGGGGCATATGGAGCATGGATGGAGGGATGCATTACACCTATATACAGCAAGATCTGAAGCTGGCCCAAGGGGGCCACACACATGAGGAAGGGAGCAGGGTCCCCCTAGGGCTGATCGCGGAAGGTCGGGGGTGGGGGAATTTCTCTGGGGGGGGGAGACGTGAAATTCGTGAACAGAAACTGGAACGATGGGAGATTCTAGACCTAGTGTCTTGACCCGCAGCCCCCAGCGATCCCAGCCCTGGGCTCCCCTCCCCAGCTCTGCTGTGCCCCTCACTCCCGACCCGCAGCCCCCAGCCAGTCCAGCCCTGGGCTCCCCCCTCCCCAGCTCTGCCGGTGCCCCTCACTCCCGACCCGCAGCCCCCTGCCAGCCCAGCTCTGGGCTCCCCCTCCCCAGCTCTGCCGTGCCCCTCACTCCCGACCCGCAGCCCCCTGCCAGCCCAGCCCTGGGCTCCCCCACCCCAGCTCTGCCGGTGCCCCTCACTCCCGACCCGCAGCCCCCTGCCAGCCCAGCCCTGGGCTCCCTCCTCCCCAGCTCTGCCGGTACCCCTCACTCCCGACCCGCAGCCCCCTGCCAGCCCAGTCCTGGGCTCCCCTCCCCCCAGCTCTGCCGATGCCCCTCACTCCCGACCCGCAGCCCCCCGCCAGCCCAGCCCCGGGTCCACCCCTCAGCTCTGCCGGTGCCCCTCACTCCCGACCCGCAGCCCCCTGCCAGCCCAGCCCGGGGCTCCCCCCACCCCAGCTCTGCCGGTGCCCCCTCACTCCCGACCCGCAGCCCCCTGCCAGCCCAGCCCTGGGCTCCCCCCTCCCCAGCTCTGCCGGTGCCCCTCACTCCCGACCCGCAGCCCCCTGCCAGCCCAGCCCTGCCGCCTGCCCCCCAGCTCTGTGGGCGGAAGGGGTTAACAGGACCCATGAGCAGTGAGAGGCTCGTGGTTTCTGGGCACTCAGCAGCTGGCGCGTCAGCACCGCCCGTTGATTCCTGCCACCCCCAGCCCCAGCGAGCGGCCTGACAATCCTGCCCTCTGCAACACAGCGCCCCCTAGTGCCACACTGGGACAGCGGGGCCAGCCCTGTCTGCCGGGGGAGAGCCCCCCACCCCACTCCCTGCAGCACAGCGCCCCCAGTGCCGGGCCTAGAAACTGAGGCAGGGTGCGACTTGCCCAAGGTGGCCCAGGAAATCTTTGGCAGAGCCAGAAATAGGACCCAGGTGTCCGGAGGCCCACGCACCTTCCCTCTCTAGCTGGGGTTCTGGCTGACACCGTAATACACCTAATAAATAGCACCCTTGGGTCCTAGGCCATGACTGCAGGGCCTGGGTGTTACCGTAACACACCCAATAAATGGCCCTCGTTCGTACAGTGCCTGGTGTGATGGGGCTTTGGTCCATGATGGCGGGTTCTGGGCATGACTGTCACCGACCTAATCCATAATAATGGCCGCTATTGAGCGAATCGTCTTCGTTACGCAAAGCTATGTTTGCTGGTACCATGAAAACAAATAAAATAAAAAAAAGAACGTCGCTGAATCTGGCGCCCGGGCAAGCTCCCGGCACTCGGACAGACACACTCGGAACAAAAGACATTTGCCATTGTTTTAAAAAACCCCCAAAACGAAGGAAACTCCCAGGCCAAAAACCTGGGGACATTTGTTCACACCTCACTCGAGGTGACCAAGAGTCTCTTTGTCAACCCAGCCCCACCCCACGTGTCTGATCTGATGACGGTTTTACTCCTGTTCTGTGCTGAGAAAAAATCCGGCAGGGGGAAAACTCCCACTGGGGTTTCAGGGTGTCCCCCCGAGCAGATGGAAATTCTCAAGTGGAACTTTCTCTTTTTTCATTTAAAGATTTTTTGCTTTTGTAGCACGGTTTCAGAGGAGCAGCCGTGTTAGTCTGGAGCCGCAAAAAGAACAGGAGGACTTGTGGCACCTTCGAGGCTCGCACATTTATTTGAGCAGAAGCTTTCGTGAGCTGCAGCTCACTTCCTCGGCTGCATGCAGTGGAAAATACAGTGGGGAGTATATAGCAAAAATATAGTGTGGAAAAACAAAGTTAAAAAAATATTTATGTACCAAAATGGGATCAGAACGAGGTGATCGACCCAAAATGACCCCCTCCCCTTCCAGAATTTCATTTCACAGAAAGTTTCAAATTTCGTTTGCTTCCATTTCGGGAGTTTCAAAAATTGTGGATTGTCCTGCAAAAATGGAGGATCCGATTCCCACCCGGCGATCCCAGAACCGCGGGGTCTTTTGCTTTTCTCTGAAACGGCAGCTTCCTGTGGGAGACATGCCCACCCCTCCGAGCTGATCCACTGGGAGGGAGGCGGGATACCGGCCTCGATGGGCCCAGGGGTCTGATCTGGGGTCGCATGGAGTGTGCTGCTTACACATCTAGATGAGCCCATGGAATAACCCATCGTCCTAGGACCTTAGAGGATCAGCAAAGGAGACGTTTACCAGGTAATATGCCTGGAAGGAGCTCCGCCCTCATGGTTTATGCACACACACCCTTCTCCCAGGAGGCCCTACAATAACAAACCAAGCCTGCATAGGCCCTGGCTCCCAGGAGACCCTACAATAATAAGTCAAGCAAGCACAGTCCCGAGCACTTCCTGGCGACCCTACAATAATAATCCTAATTTGCACAACCCCCAGCCATCCCAAAGGACCCTACAATAATAAGACAAGCCTGCACCGCCCCACAGCCCTCCCAGAAGACATTGCAATAATACGTCAAGCCTGCACAACTCCTGGCGTTCTCAGGAGACCCTACAATAATATACCAAGTCTATACAGCCCAGCCATTCCCAGGAGGCCAAATAATAACAAGACAAGCGAGCAACCTCCAGCACTCCAAGGAGACCCTGCGATAACAAACCAGTGTGTCATGCCTCCCAGCCAGCCCAAATCCTTGTGACAAAGGATGAAGGAAATTCCTTAGTCGGGTTCATTAACTTAATTTCATTAAGGTGATAAATACCCATCTGTTATTGTAGGGTCTCTCAGGAAAGTTGATACTCTCAGGACAGGTAGGGCTGTATACATGCTGGTTTGTTATTGTAGGGTCTCTCAGGAGGGGTGGAGCTGTACGCATACCAGTGGTTATTGTAGGGTCTTTGGGGAGGGGGAGGGCTGTAAACATGCTGGCTGTTATTGTAGGGTCTCTTGGGCAGGACAAGGCTGCACACATGCTGGTTGTTATTGCAGGGTCTCTCATAAATGCCAGGCCTGCATTCCCATTCTGTTACTCTAACAGCTCCCACAAGCAGAGGGGATCGGCAAACCGGTGCGTCATTGCAGCAGCAGGGACTGAGTGGGCCCCTTTGTTATTGTAGGGTCTCCTGGTCTCCTGCCGCCAGGTCCCCACTTTGTGAACAACGACACCAACTTTGCAAATGTTTGTCAGGCTCCAGGAGAAGCCTGCCCCCCTACTCCCCGCCCCCCGGCAACTGCTTGAAGCCTGAGCCGCCCCCCTGTGAAGCCCACCCCAGTCAGTCCCCTCCCGGTTGACTCACTCTGGCTCGGTGGGGATGGAGAGCAGCAGATGAGACGTCTCGGACCTGACCAGCTGCGCCCCCATGCACGGAGAGAGGGAAGGGGAGCTCCTCAGCCGAAGAGATGGGCGGTTCCAATGCTCAGCTATGAGCCTTCCTCCGTCCAAAGCTGGGAAGCCGGACATCTGAGCAGGGCATGTGAGCCCCCTCGTGTCCAGAGTGCAGGGAAGTAGCAGAATCAAGGTGCCGAATCCAAATCCCCAGGCAGCAGCCAGCTTCCAGTTCTGTCTTCTCCGAGCCAGGGGGTGGGGAAACGATTGAAAAATGAAGAACATTCTCAGCCCCCAAAACTTTGTGATCCTGGGGAATTCCCAGGCAAAACTGGCACCGACTGAAGGCAATTTGCAGGCCACAAAACTTCATGAACGATGAAAATTACCAGGCAAAGAATTTGTTAGGTGAAAAAATTCCCACTGGGGCAAATCGCTGGATTAAGTGAGGCAACTGACAGCTAAAAGGGGGGTATATTTTGGTTTGGTTTGTTCACTAAGGAAATTCACAAAAAACTCGCTGGATAAAGGAAAGGCTCACCTGAAAACTCAGTAAACCAGGGAAATTCTCACCCCAGAAAACTTTGTGAACGAAATAAATCTGCACCCCACAACTGGGGTAATTTTCAGCCCACAAAACCCTGTGAACTAAGAAAGCCTGAAACATGCATAAACTAGGGAAATTCTGAGCCCCTAAAACCTTTGTGAACTAAGGAAACTCTCAAGCCAAACCCAGTGTAAATTAGGATAAGTCTCAGCCCACAAAATTCTGTGAACTAAGGACATTTCCAGCTTCAAACCTTTGTCAATCAGAGCCATTCTCAGCCCCCAAAAGGTTGCGAACTAGGGAACAGCCTCAAACCAGTGTAAACAAGGGTCATTCTCAGCCCAATTTTTTTTGTGAATTAAGGACATTTTCAGCCCAAAAACCTTTGTGAATTAAGGGTATTTTCAGCCTCAGACCTGTGCAAACCAGGGTAATTCTCAGCCCCAAAAAACTTTGTGAAGGAAGGAAATTTTCAGCCTCAGACCTGTGTAAACCAAAGGAATTCTCAGCTCGGAAAACTTTGTGAGCGAAGGAAAATCTCAGCCAGGAAAGCTTCATGAAATCAGGAAATTCAGAGTCCAAAACCTGTGTAAACAAGGGTCATTCTCAGCCCAAGAAACTTTGTTTGCTGAGGAATTTTTCAGCCCCAAACTAGGGAAATTCCCCACTCAAAAACTCCATGTGCTACAGAAAGGCCCAGCCCCCCACATTTGCGAAAGCCACCGAAGCTCGTCTTTCATGGCAGCTGAGAACCCCAAACTCTCCCAGAGAAGGGGAACAACCCCTCACCACAAGCCCTATTGCGGGGGCCCCCATGGGGCACAGAAGCACTGGCCGTTAACCCTTTAAAGCCCTGTGTCTTTGCAGGTCAGTTTGTTTGTCCCTTTAGAACAAGTCCGGCTGGAAGTGTCTGGGATGGAAAGTGACGGAAAATGGCCGTAGAAAGAAATGCATATTTTTTTTGTCGTTTTTCTTTTTTTCTTTTTTCACATTTCCCTCACAGTGCTGGGGTTCTCGATAAGATTTGTTTCTTTGTTTTTTCTCTTCGTCTCTCCCGGAAAGGAGAAGGTCTCTCTCGCGCGCTCTCCCTCTCTGCCCGAGCCTCCTCTCCTTCCACTGCGTCCGCCGAACACACTAGATCTTAAACAAGAGAGTCACAAAGGCAGACGACAGCAAGCCCAGGAACAAGGGGGACTCCATCCCGGGCACTGCTATGTTTTCCAGAGAACCGGGTCCTGGCAAGAGAAGAAAGAGGATTTCAAAGCCAGGGACTAGACTTTCAAGGGACTGGGGGCACCACGGGTGATTTTCAGAAGCATTTAGAGTACCTCACTGGCCTTCAGCATTTTAGAGAAGGTTGGTTTAGATTGCTGGGGGGGCTGGGAGCCAGGACTCCTGGGTTCTATCCCTGGTCTGGGAGGGGAGTGGGGTCTATGGGTTGGAGCAGAGGGGTGCTTGGAGCCAGGACATTCTATCTAAATGTTACTATACCTCTTTGGGGTTTGTGGCTGGGCCAGTCTTCAAAGACAGGGGGCAGGGCCAGCTGTGAATTATGGGCGGGGCTGTTGGGAACGGTGGGCAGGGCCAGTGGTGAAGGAGAGTGGGCGGTTCTGAGGGGAATGGTGGGCGGGGCCAGCGGTGAAGGACAGAGGGTGGGGCAGTGGGCGGGGCAAGCTGTTGCACGGGGCGGGGGGACGTACGTATCAGCCGCAGGCTTGCGTTGGAGACTCCCAGCTTGTTGGAGGCCAGGCAGCTGTAGTTCCCATAATGCCGAGCGGTGACGTTGTCGATGAGCAGCATGGAGCGTGTGCGCTCGTTCTGGATCTGCAGCCCCTCGAGGCCCCCAAAGAGTCTGCAAAGATGGGGGAGCATTACAAGATCTCACAGTTTCACACCTGGTAGGGAGTTTATCAGCAAACCAGCATGAAACACGACAAACTACAGAACTGGCTGGGTTAGTAGGGGCTGTGGGTCGGGAATGAGGGTCACCAGCAGATCTGGGGGAACGCAGGGCTGGGCTAGCAGGGGGAAGTGGGTCAGGAGTGAGGGGCAACTGACAACCGACCTGATAAAGTAACAACCCACCAAACAACCATCCCAACAACTGACCCAATACACCAACAATCAGCCCAAGAACCAACCTAACCAATCAACAAACAATAGACCCAGCAACCAACCCAAACTGCCAACAACCGATGCGCCAAACAAAACCAGGAAGCCCCCAGCAACCCAATAGACCAACCAACCATTAAACCTGCAACCACCAAGAACCCTGATATCAAAGAGCCAACTAACCAATCGACAAGAAACTCAGGTGTCAAACAACAATTGTAGCCTACAAACCAACAATCAACCCACCTGCCAACGAGCAATCTGAATAAACCAACAATCAACCGACCCAACACACCAACCATCAACCCAATAACCACACCAACAACCAACTCAACAAACCACCAATTCACTAACCCAACAACCAACCCAACACACCAACAACCAACTCAACAAACCACCAATTCACTAACCCAACAACCAACCCAACACACCAACCACCAACTCAACAAACCACCAATTCACTAACCCAACAACCAACCCAACACACCAACCACCAACTCAACAAACCACCAATTCACTAACCCAACAACCAACCCAGCACACCAACAACCAACTCAACAAACCACCAATTCACTAACCCAACAACCAACCCAGCACACCAACAACCAACTCAACAAACCACCAATTCACTAACCCAACAACCAACCCAACGCACCAACAACCAACTCAACAAACCACCAATTCACTAACCCAACAACCAACCCAACACACCAACCACCAACTCAACAAACCACCAATTCACTAACCCAACAACCAACCCAGCACACCAACAACCAACTCAACAAACCACCAATTCACTAACCCAACAACCAACCCAGCACACCAACAACCAACTCAACAAACCATCTGTGATAAATGAAGGGGGGTGGGTAGCTCCTTTGATGGACACCCACCCAGCCAGTTAGCTGTAAAATCCCTCTTGGTAGCTGTTCTCGACTTGCTTTACCTGTAAAGGATTAAAAAGTCCCCGAGGTCAAGAAAGAAAGTGGGCACCTGGCCAAAAGAGCTAATGGGAAGGCGAGAACTTTTTTTAAAATGGGGAAAGAAACTTTCCCTTTGTCTGTTGTTCTCTGAGCTGCAGGGACAGGGAGCAGCCCTGCGAGAGGCAGGAACGCTGCGTGAGGTGTGAACCAAGTCTGAAAAATTATTTCCCATACCTGGAAGGAATCACTGGGACAGGGAATGTTTAAAGAGACGTGATCAGGTTTATTTCTTTATTTTGGCTCCTGGACTCCTCTGTGCTAAACCCCAGATGCTTTTATTTGCTTGTAACCTTTAAGCTGAACCGAGTTCTGACTGCGGAAGACAGGGATTTCTTTCGACAGATGATGTGCTTGGAAGCGGAGGACAAAAGAGGAGCGAAGCCCTTGGAGGCGATGTCAAAGCTGAAGCGCTTAGAGCTGGAAAGGGCTAAGCTGGGTCCACCAGGTACAGTCCTTCTCCGGGTCCCGCTCCCCATTCCAAGAAATCCCCCACATACGAGGCAGGCGATGATACAGAGGCCTTAGAAAATTTCGAACGGGGTCCAACGCCCCTCCAGACCAGTGTACGGTGGAGCTGAGGCCGCAGCTCAGTGGACCCTCAGCAGAGGTGGCAGCTGAAATGCCCAGAGAACACATGGACGAGTACCAACTTTTTACACAAAAGGCCAGAATCAGAATGGGGCTAACACCCGAGCAGGCCCGTCGGCAGTTCAGGGCCTTAAGGTGGAAACCAGACGTGGCATTTTCCCAAGACGCCCACCACACTGTGAAACATTGGGGTGCCTGGCTATCAGGAGCAAGTGTTAAATCTCGGGAAGATCGGTCTCTCCCAATGCAAATGGAGCAGTTCTTAGAGCGTGTTCCTGAGGAAATAGAAAGGTGCACCCCAGATGGGAAGCCCAAAACTGTAATCGAGGTGGGGCAGATTGTAACCAAATGGGTGGAGGTGGCGGAGAAGAAGAAGGCCAGTAGCAGTTGGCGGGGATACCACAAGGGGAACCCGAGACGACACCCCACCATCGAAGTCAGCCCAAGGCCCCACCTCGCGAGGAGGAGCCCTCCACACAGCCAGGGAGTTCCCAGCTGCCCTCTCGCCCTACCACCCCACTCTCCAACCACTCACCTTGTCCCAGCCCACAGACAGCTGGGTGATGCTTTAAATGTAATGAGCTGGGGCATGGGAAGGCCAACTGCCCCAAGAGCACCAGCCGACTGCAACTCATCACCCCAGAGTCTCATCAAGAGCCTTCAGGCCCAGATGTCTTGCAAACACCTCCAGAGCAAAGGGACACTGTGAGTGTGGGTGGGAGGAAGATTACTGCGAGGCGAGACACTCAGCATGCACCAATCCCTGGTGGATCCCAAATTCATTGACCCAGAGGCCCACGTGATGGTGCAACCCTCTAAGGCCAACTCTTTTAACTTGTCTACAGCCAGGTTGCCTGTCCAGTACAAGGGCTGGTCAGGGATATGGACTTTTGCCGTCTATGACGATTATCCCATTCCCATGCTGCTGGGAGAAGACTTAGCCAACCATGTGAGGGTAACAAAACGGGTGGGGATGGTCACCCGCAGCCAGGCTAAACAGGCCTCCACACCTAACCCCATTCCTGAGCCTCCTACAGGGACCCAGCCAGAGGTGGTGGAACCAGACCCCAGACCAGAGTCTATGACAGCGGTTGTAGATCCGGTTCCTGGGACCCAGCCAGAACCCGCCCAAGGATCGGAACGGGTGGAGCAGCCAGCACCAGAGCCCATGCTTGCAACCCCACCCGAGTCAGGGGAGCCAGCACCAAAGGGGGCCACAGAGGCCGCCCCTGCAGCCGCAGCTAAACCGGCGCGAGAGGCTCAACCGGAGCCCGAACCGCCCTCTAGCGCACCCGCGGCGAGCGGGTCACAGCCGACGAGACACCCCCATCCCTGCATCGCTTCCAGTGGGACCAAGCCCAAAATCCAGTTTTTTGCACTGATCACGTCTTTTTTGCCAAGCCAAGGTCCGAGAGAAGCTGGCACCGTGGGAGTTCAATACAAGCCCGGAGTGGCCGGTATTAACGCTTAGAACCCTTGCGGGCCCCACTTCCTGCCCTCGAAGTGCCAGAGTGGGGAATCAGCCTGACACCATCAATTAACTAACTCAACAACGAGCCCCGCAAACCAGCAACCAGCCAACAACCGACTAACGACACAAACCATCCGTCAACCAGCCCAACGACCAACCCTACAAATCAACAGCCCCAACAAATTAACACCAATGATCAACCCTTCAACCGACTCCACAAACCATCCATCACCCAGCGTAGCAACAATCATCCAACAACCAACACAAACCCCCAGCAACGACAGAGAGCCCCGGAAAGGGGATTAAATCTGTCCTGGAGGAGACCGTCACAGCTCAGATCTCACTGGGAGGGGAAATGTGACATCCAGTCTACCACAGATCACATGACACTGCATGGCCAATGAGAGGTCAGAGGGTCGCTGATTGGACGTCAGTCACTCCAGGGCAGGGCAAAGGGGCCCGTTCCTGGAGGGGTGGGTGGGGCCGGTTAGGAGGGTCACTCACTGCTTGTCATCCTTGAACCACTCAAATTCGGCAGGTGGCACGGCCATGGCCTCACATCTCAGTAGTGCCGGCTTCCCCATGGTGGGATAGGCGTCCTTCACGTCCTTGATGGTGGGAGGATCTGAGAGGAGAAAGCAAAGGAAAAAAGGAGAGGAGTTGGCGCCCCCTAGAGGGGAAAGGCCCCATATTCCATTGCCTGCCCCACTGAGCCAGCCAGTCCCTGCCCTGAGGCTGGATGGGAGCCGGCGCCCCCTAGAGTGGGAAGCCCAAAGGTTGACTCACAGTTGACTGTGATCAGGACCCTCTTGCTGTCGGCCACAGAGACTCCGTTGGCCGTGACACACTCATACTCCCCGGCCTGCTGTCTGTTGATCTCGGTGATTTCCAGATATTCCCCTTCACTGGTGAACCCGTCTGTGTGTGGGGAGGAGGTGTGGAGCGGGGGGGAGACAGACACAAACACAGACTTACACACGAGAGAAAAGACACACAACAACACAACAGTTACAAACACCTCCTGAGGTACGGCCACCGCCTGCCAGGGCTGGGCCAGCAGGAGGCTGCGGGTCGGGAGTGAGGGGCACTGGCCAAGCTGCAGGGTGTTGGGGTGCCCAGGGGGCTGCGGGTCGGGAGTGAGGGGCACTGGCCAAGCTGCAGGGTGTTGGGGTGCCCAGGGGGCTGCGGGTCGGGAGTGAGGGGCACTGGCCAAGCTGCAGGGTGTTGGGGTGCCCAGGGGGCTGCGGGTCGGGAGTGAGGGGCACCGGCCAAGCTGCAGGGTGTTGGGGTGCCCAGGGGGCTGTGGGTCGGGAGTGAGGGGCAGCAGGTCAGGCTCCTGTCTGATTCCTCCATGACAGCTCCAGACCCTCCAGCCCCCAACTCTATCCAGATCCCCCTTTTCCTCAGCCCGACCAACCTCCCTCCCCCCATATCCCGGCAAATCCCCCTCAATATCCCCCTACCTTGATCCACCCCCCAACTGTCCCTTCCCCAAATCATTCCCTGCCTCCTCCTCCTTCCCTCCCACTCTCGCCTTCCGCCCCCATCTGCAAATCGCCCCCTCCCCGGCCCGCTCCCTCTTACCTCTCAGCTGTCTCCAGGTCACGGTGGGCTCCGGTTTGCCCGTGGCCACGCACAGCAAATTCACGTCGCTCCCTTCGTTCACCGTCACGGCCGAGGAGATGTTCGTGATCCGAGCTGGCACTGTGGGCGGGAGGCGGAGAGCAGCGTCAGCCTCTGTCCCCCGAGGGGCGCCCTCCCCTCTGAGCCCCCCATGCCTGGTGCTAGGGGTTGACCGAGTGGGGTTGGTACCCAGACGCCCCACCTCAGAGGTGGCCACATCTCAGAGCCAGGCGAGGAGTCCCCATATAACCAGCCCCCACCCCAGAGGTGGCTGCATCCCAGGGCTGGGTGAGGGGTCCCCGTATAACAAACTCCCCACGCCCCACCCCAGAGGTGGCTGCATCCCAGGGCTGGGTGAGGGGTCCCCGTATAACAAACTCCCCACGCCCCACCCCAGAGGTGGCCGCATCTCAGTGGCAGGCAGCGCACGGGGTGTTAACATTGGACTCACCCCCCCCCCCCGTGGGACAATTTGGTGGAAAAGCCAAAAAAAGCCACCCCTTGACGCGAGTCTCCCCCAGCCCCGCTAACAAGGCCCATTGTGCGAGCTGATTGGCCGAACGACGAGGGCCGCAGCCAATCAGGGCAAAGCGGCGAACAGCTGCAGCAGGGACCCCGCAATTGTCCCCCCGGAGCCAATCAGGGCCCATTGTCCCCACTTCCTGGCGCCGCGGACACCTGGGGGGGGGCGGCTGAGACGGCAAAATCTCCTCGGTTCCTGGCTCCAATCACGCGCCCCGTGCCGGCCCCCTGGCCCGGGCCTGACATGCGGCCACCTCTGGGGCGCGGCATGGGGGGCTGGGTATCCAGGGCCCCCTGGCCCGAGCCTGACATGCAGCCAGCTCTGGGGCTGGGTATACAGGGCCCCCGGGCCCGACATGCGGCCACCTCTGGGGTGCGGCATGGGGGGCTGGGTATCCAGGGCCCCCTGGCCTGGGCCTGACATGCGGCCACCTCTGGGGCTGGGTATCCAGGGCCCCCTGGCCCGGGCCTGACATGTGGCCACCTCTGGGGCGCGGCACGGGGGGCTGGGTATCCAGGGCCCCCCGGCCCGGGCCAGACATGCAGCCACCTCTGGGGTGCGGCACGGGGGGCTGGGTATCCAGGGCCCCTCGGCCCAAGCCTGACATGCAGCCAGCTCTGGAGCTGGGTATCCAGGGCCCCCCGGCCCGGGCCCGACATGCGGCCACCTCTGGGGCAGGGCACGGGGGGCTGGGTATCCAGGGCCCCCTGGCCCGGGCCTGACATGCGGCCACCTCTGGGGCAGGGCACGGGGGGAGCTAAAATCGCAAACTTAGCCCCAAGTCACAGGGCCCTGGGCAGGGCGTGGGGGGGGAAATTCGGGGGGGTCGCAGGCACTAGGGATGGACGCACACATGGGTCCAGCACAAGCCCTACAGCAGGAGACAGCCCCGCCCCCGCTGCCCCCCCCCCCAACTGGCCATAGATCTCTGTGCAGCCCCTCCTCATGGCCCAGCCCCCCAGCTCCCATCCCCCACCACATGCACCTGCCCCCTCCCCCAGCCCCCAATCCCCCCTCCCCTCTCAGCCATGCATGCCTGCACTGACTCCCCCCCCACTCCCTGTCCTCTGCCCCCACTGGTCTTTGCTCCTCCATCTCTGCCCATCCCCCCACCCCAGTCACTGCCCATCCCCCCTCCCCATCCCAGCCCATTCCCCTACCCCCAGGGCCCCCCCCTCCTCCCCCTGTCCCTGCCTCCCCATAACCCCACCCCCACCACTGCCCAGCCCCCCACCCCTCTCTGCCCCATCCCATCCCATCCCCCTCCTCGGGCCCAGTCACTGCCCAGCTCCGCCCCCTGCTCCTCCATCTCTGCCCATCCCCCCACCCCAGTCACTACCCATCCCCTCACCCCCCCATGCCAGTCCCCCCTCGGGCCCAGCCCCCCGCCCAGTCGCTGCCCAGCCCCCTACGCCTCTCTGCCCCAGCCCAGCCCCACATCCTCATCCCACCAGCCCAGCCCCCAGGGCCCTCACCCTCCTCGCCCTGTCCCTGCCCATCCCCCCTCGGGCGCAGCCCTCCCCCAGCCCCTACCGTGCACGATGAGGTAGACCTGGGCCGTGTGGGGCCTGGCCTGGGTCTGGAAGGAGCAGGTGTACAGCCCCTCGTCCCACACGTCCACCTGGGCCACGAGGATGCTGAACTCGGCCGGGCTGTTGGTGAGGAGCCGGACCCGCGGGTCGATGGACCACTTGTCGTTCCCCGCAAACAGGATGTTGGAGCGGTTGAGCCAGGCCACCCGGGTCACCTGCTCGTCGATGTAACAGCTGGGGGCAGAGACAGCGGGGGCTGCGGGTCAGGAGTGAGGGGCGCCGGGGAGCCCGGGGCTGGGCTGGCAGGGGGCTGCGGGTCGGGAGTGAGGGGCGCCGGGGAACCCGGGGCTGGGCTGGCAGGGGGCTGCGGGTCGGGAGTGAGGGGCGCCGGGGAGCCCGGGGCTGGGCTGGCAGGGGGCTGCGGGTCGGGAGTGAGGGCGCCGGAGGGGGGGAACCCGGGGCTGGGCTGGCAGGGGGCTGCGGGTCGGGAGTGAGGGGCGGGGGGGGGGGGGTTGGGGGGAGGGGCGCCGGGGAGCCCGGGGCTGGGCTGGCAGGGGGCTGCGGGTCGGGAGTGAGGGACGCCGGGGAACCCGGGGCTGGGCTGGCAGGGGGCTGCGGGTCGGGAGTGAGGGGCGCCGGGGAGCCCGGGGCTGGGCTGGCAGGGGGCTGCGGGTCGGGAGTGAGGGGCGCCGGGGAGCCCGGGGCTGGGCTGGCACGGGGCTGCAGGTCGGGAGTGAGGGGCACCGGCAGGGCTGGGGGGGGCAGGGCTGGGCTACCAGGGGCTGCGGGTCGGGAGTGAGGGGCGCCAGGGAGCCCGGGGCTGGGCTGGCAGGGGGCTGCGGGTCGGGAGTGAGGGGCGCCGGGGAGCCCGGGGCTGGGCTGGCAGGGGTCTGTGGGTCAGGAGTGAGGGGCACTGGGGAGCCCAGGGCTGGGCTGGCAGGGGGCTGCGGGTCGGGAGTGAGGGGCGCCAGGGAGCCCAGGGCTGGGTTGGCAGGGCGCTGCGGGTCAGGAGTGAGGGGCACCGGCAGGGCTGGGCTGGCAGGGGGCTGCGGGTCGGGAGTGACGGGCACCGGCAGGGCTGGGGGGGTCGCCCAGGCCAGCACTTTCCCCCTCCAGTCTTTGCCCTCCTGCTGTCCCATGCACCCTGGTTCCTGGCCCAAAGGCCATTTCCATTCTACCTCCTGGAAACCTCCCCTGCAGTGGCTGGAGGAGCCGGTGTCCAGCTTTGCCTCTCAGCTCTGCTACGGTGCGGCTGTGAACCAGCTCCCCCCAGAGGTGGCTGCATCTCAGCACCAGCTGGATAAAGAACCTTGAAAGAGTCATTGGAGCTGGGAGCCAGGACTCCTGGGTTCTCTTCCCAGCTCCCGAGCAGTTGTGTCCCCAGACCCAAGGAAGGCGAGATGTCGGAGCTTCTACAGCTCATTTTATCCCTCTGCCCCCCACCCCGAAAACACATGATCAGCTCCCAGACCTGGGACAGAGGGATCAGCAAAGCTTGGAAAGAAACAGCAGCCTGTCAATTGAATCCCTACGTGGGCATGTCCCAAAACCGGGCCTGCTCTGCCGGTGCCCCTCACTCCCGACCCGCAGCCCCTGCTAGCCCAGCCCTGCCCCCCCAGCTCTGCCGGTGCCCCTCACTCCCGACCCGCAGCTCCCTGCCATTCCTGCTCACTCCTGCCTGTGAGTCCCCCGATCAGCAGAGTGAGATTGAATCGGGGGGGCTGTTTTCTCTCTGTTAATGCCACAGTCACTGAATAATTCCAGGTGTCAGGAGCTCCAGGCACCAGCATCCGGCAGCTGCAGGACGCGGATGGATCAGCGCTCGGCGGAGCGGGGTGGGGGCTCTCCCCTGGCAGGCAGGGCTGGCCCCATGCCCCAGGCGGCACTAGGGGGCAGGGTGGGGGGTCTTGTTCCAAGATCTGTGCGGGGCAGGCGAGGGAGGGGGTCTGGGAGCGCCCCCGGCTGGGTGGGTGAGGCACCCAGCCTGCCTGTGACTGGCTCAGTGTCGGTCGGGGTGGGGAAGTCACAGACGATGTTAGGGGCCTGGAAACCAGCCTGGCGGGGTGGAGAGGGGGGCAGGGCTTTTGAGAAGAAGATATGGGGTAGGAGGGCCCTGCGGGGGGCCTGTGTGGGCTCCCCCTTTCCCTTCAGCACCCACCGCACAGCCCCACTCCCAGCCGGCCCCCAACCCACTTACCCCCAGTGTCTAGGTCAGCCCAGCCCCATCGCCCCCGGGCAGAGCCGCTGGAGGGCTGCGGCGCGGGGCGGGGGAAGCCGGATCTAGGTCAGGCTGAGCATGACTCAGGCTGGCTGGTGCATTGCAGGAGGGAGCGGGGGAGAGAGAGAGACAAGGTGGTGTGGGGCTAGAGAGAGAGATAGAGAGATAGAGGGGGAGGATGGAGATAGATAGATAGATAGATAGATAGATAGATAGATAGAAGGGGTGTATGGGGGGATGGATAGATAGATAGATAGATAGATAGATAGATAGAAGGGGTGTATGGGGGGATAGATAGATAGATAGATAGATAGATAGATAGAAGGGGTGTATGGGGGGATAGATAGATAGATAGATAGATAGATAGATGGGGTGGATGGGGATAGATAGATAGAAGGGGTGTATGGGGGGATGGATAGATAGATAGATAGATAGAAGGGGTGTATGGGGGGATAGATAGATAAGATAGATAGATAGATAGATAGATAGATAGATAGATAGAAGGGGTGTATGGGGGGATAGATAGATAGATAGATAGATAGATAGATAGATAGAAGGGGTGTATGGGGGGATGGATAGATAGATAGATAGAGGGGGTGGATGGGGATAGATAGATAGAAGGGGTGTATGGGGGATAGATAGATAGATAGATAGATAGATAGATAGATAGATAGATAGAAGGGGTGTATGGGGGGATGGATAGATAGATAGAGGGGGTGGATGGGGATAGATAGATAGAAGGGGTGTATGGGGGGATAGATAGATAGATAGATAGATAGATAGAAGGGGTGTATGGGGGGATAGATAGATAGATAGATAGATAGATAGATAGAAGGGGTGTAGGGGGGATGGATAGATAGATAGATAGAGGGGGTGGATGGGGATAGATAGATAGAAGGGGTGTATGGGGGGATAGATAGATAGATAGATAGATAGATAGATAGAAGGGGTGTACGGGGGGATGGATAGATAGATAGATAGAGGGGGTGGATGGGGATAGATAGATAGAAGGGGTGTATGGGGGGATAGATAGATAGATAGATAGAAGGGGTAGATGGGGATAGATAGATAGATAGATAGGTAGATAGACAGATAGATAGTTAGTGGGGGGATAGATAGAAAGATAGAGGGGGTGTGTGGGGATAGATAGATAGATAGTGGGAGGTGTATGGGGGGATAGATAGACAGAGGGGGTGGATGGGGATAGATCGATAGATCACAACTTTTCACATCCCTTACTGATGCCCAGAAGGGGACACCCACCCACCACCCGGCTTTGTTATCGTCGGGTCTCTCGTCCCAACACTGCCGCGCTCAGCTCTTACGGTCGAGTCTCCCCAGTGTGGTTTGCCCCTGTGGGGTCTCTTGGCCGTTATCGTTAGGGTCTCTCAAGCACAATTGATCACCACCGGGTCTCTCATCAGAGCCCTAATGTGGCTCACGCCTGTTATTGTAGGGTGCTGGCAAACACCAAGCAACGCAGGGATGTGGTGAGACGTGGGGTGAGTGGCATTGGGGGGGGCCCTGCTGCAGGGAGCGGGGTGGGGCCCCTCCAGCAGGGGTCAGCAGGGACAGAGACACCCAGCCACACCCTCCCAGCGTGGGGGCCGCTCTGGCAGGGTCTCACCTTAGCGTGGCGTTGTCCCCTTGACACACAGTGTAGTTGTCGGCCGGCTGGTTATACTCCAGGCTCTGCACCAGCAGCCCTGAGGGCAGAAAGAGAGAATGGATAAGATAATGCAGGGGGGCGGCTTGCCCAGGGCTGAGATGGAGCCACCTCTGGGGTGGGGCAACTGGGTAACAGCCGCACATCACAACACACGGGGCTGGTTCACCTGGTGCTGACATGCAGCCACCTCTGGGGTGGGGACACAGCGGCTGGTTAATTCACAATTCCGTGCGATTTCAGATGGGAAGTGAATGAAAATCGCAGTTTGAGGATTTAGGGAAGCTGAATGGAATCGCCCCAGCTGGGGTTTGGCCCAGATCCACGGGTTCAAGCCCAGCCTCTTGGAGGAAATGCTAGGACCTCTGGGAGCGCCCCCTAGTGCCACCCTGGGGCATCGGGGCCAGCCATGACAGCCAGGGGAGCCCCCCCCCAGCACAGCGCCCCCTAGCAGTCGTTCGCTTTGGGGACAGAGGGGATTATAACGCAGTCGCTCAACCCCCCTGGAAGTGAATTCAGCTGAGCCCAGCAGGGGGCGCTCACAGGACTCGGCCCCCGACGCGCAGGCCGCTCTGGTCTTAGTGGGGCAGAGCTGGCGCTGGGGGATTTTAAAAGCCCCAAAGATCCTCCCCACTAAACAGCAGGAACATACAGATACCCCAGGAGTCCGGGCTCCCAGCCCCCCGCCCTCTAACCACTAGACCCCACTCCCCTCCCAGAACCGGGGAGAGAACCCAGGCGTCCGAGTTCTGATCCCAGCCCCGGGGCTGTTTGTTCCATCACCCAGCACCTGTCTGGCTCCGTCAGGGGGATTTCGGTGATGGATCCTCCTCTCCCGCCTCCCCGGGACACGGAGTCAGAGGCCAAGAGCCCCTCCTGCTTGTCTCATTTCAACCCCTCCTCTTCACTGCCCCCCCTCCCCACACCATGTAACAACCACAGGGGAGCCCAGGGCTTGGATCACGGGGGGCTGTGGGCCAGGAGTGGGGGGCACCGGCAGGGCAGGAGGAGCAGTGCGGGGATCACGGGGGGCTGCAGGCCAGGAGTGGGAGGCACCGGCAGGGGGGGGGGGGGGGCTGAGATCATGGGGGGCTGTGGGTCGGGGAACCGGGGGTCAGAGGCTCTTTTCCCTTCCCGGCTCCCCCAGGGCGATACGGACCCTCGGCCACATGTCCCCCAGGCTCAGCAGGGACGTGACTCCAGTGGCGGGGGGCTGGGCCCATGGGGTGAACCGGCTATTGCCCCGGGTAGAAGGGGGGTCCGGGGGGTGGGGTGAGACACCCCTGGGCCGGGCTCAGAGCTGCAGCAGGGACGCAACTAACCGAAGCCGGAGAGGAGCCCCCCCCAGTGACCCGCCCTGCCCCGGGGTGTGATGGGGGGCAGGGCTGGGGCAGAAGGGGGCTGCCGGTTGGGACTGAGGGGCACCGGTGGGGGGCGGGGGGAGCTGCCTGACGAAGTGGCTGGGGGATGGGGCCGGACAGGCTGGGGGGGACAGGAGGGGGGGTCTGTCACTTTGCATTCAGAGCCCGCGACAAGGTGACAGGGGAAGACGGGCACAGACAGCGATCGATCATCGCAGCCGGCAGCCCGGCAGCCCCCCCCAGCCCTGCCAGCTCCCTGCCCCCTCCAACTCCCCCCTCCCCAGCCCTGCCCGCCAGCCCCCTGCCCCCCGCCAGCTCCCCCCTCCCCAGCCCTGCCCGCCAGCCCCCTGCCCCCCGCCAGCTCCCCCCCTCCCCAGCCCTGCCCGCCAGCCCCTCCCCCCCCGCCAGCTCCCCCCTCCCCAGCCCTGCCCGCCAGCCCCCTGCCCCCCGCCAGCTCCCCCCTCCCCAGCCCTGCCCGCCAGCCCCCTGCCCCCCGCCAGCTCCCCCCTCCCCAGCCCTGCCCGCCAGCCCCCTGCCCCCCGCCAGCTCCCCCCTCCCCAGCCCTGCCCGCCAGCCCCCTGCCCCCCGCCAGCTCCCCCCTCCCCAGCCCTGCCCGCCAGCCCCCTGCCCCCGCCCCCAGCTCCCCCCTCCCCAGCCCTGCCCGCCAGCCCCCTGCCCCCCGCCAGCTCCCCCCTCCCCAGCCCTGCCCGCCAGCCCCCTGCCCCCCGCCAACTCCCCCCTCCCCAGCCCTGCCCGCCAGCCCCCTGCCCCCCGCCAGCTCCCCCCTCCCCAGCCCTGCCTGCCAGCCCCCTGCCCCCCCAACCCCAGCCCCGCCAGCCCCTCTAGCTCCCTACCCCTGCCAGGCTCCTGCCCACCCCCTCCAGCCCCCAGCCCCAGCCCTGCCAGCCCCCTCCCTCCCGATCCACAGCCCCTGCTAGCCCAGCCCCCCGCACCCCGCTCTGCCCCTCACTCCTGACCCTGCAAGCCCAGCTCTTACTGGGGTATTAAAGCGGCTCTCTCTCGCTGCTTGACTAATAACACCCACGGCCCCCCCCCCCCCCCCCCGGCTTTGGCTAATTCAGGTGATTTATGGAGCCTGGCCAGGATGCACACTGAGGTGCAGCGAGGTCTAAGTGCAGGAGCGGGTAGGGGGCGGGGGGTGGGCTGGAAGCCAGGACTCCTGGGTTCTCTCCCGCCTCAGGGAGGGGGGTCCGTACAATGATCTGAGGCAAGGCCTCGAGCTGGTAAGACAATGCAGCAAATAAAAACGGAGACCGTGTTTGTAATGATGATCCTCAGGGTGTCGTTAGGCAGCTGTGACTGTGTGTGGGGGGGTGGGGGGTGTCCCTGCTGCCCTGTGTTACATGCTGCACCCATGCCCCGATCGCCCCCCCCCGCAGGGCTCGTCCCCTGCCGCAGGGACACACACACCCCGGGGCCCAGCCCCTCCAGCAGGGACACACACGCTTCCCGCGGGCAGGGGAACCCCATTTAAATGCCGCCCCTCCCCTCCCCCTGTCTCAGTCCAGCACAGAAATGGGGTGCTCAGCTCAGCCTAGACGTGGGGGAGGCAGTTGTCCCCCTGCCTCCCTGAAACCAGCTCAGGGCCACACACTACCCCACTGTCACCCCCCAGGGAAACTGAGGCAGTGAGTGGGCCAGTAGGTTTCCCACTTCTCCTTTGGGCATTTTCAGGGGGTGAGTTCTGATGTTAGTCCGGAGTCACCCTCTGACCGCACCGGGGACAGGGCCGGATTTCGATCAGCTAGCGAGAGGGGGTGTCTGCAAACAGATGGACGGGGCAGGAGAGAGAAGGTATGTATGTATTCACCCACCCCTCCCCATCCCCTCCCCCAAGCTACCTGATAGATCCTTCCCATCCCCTCGCCCCACCCCTACGCTTCTCACCTGCCTGGCTGTGTGTTCCCCATTTGGGGGGAAGGGGACAACGAGGCGGTCAAGACTGGGAGCCTCAGTTTCCCCTCCCATCCCTCCTCTCTCACTGACTTTTCCCCAGTCGAGGGATTGCTCCGGGTTCTTCAGTCCCTCGCGTGCTGCGGTGGGATCCCAGCTGGGTGGGGCTGGGGAGGGGGGCGGGGAAACAATTCTGGAATTGGGTGCAAAGAACCGGGCGCGGGGGGAGGAAATTGTTGTCTGCCTCCGAAGCCGGAGGACGCTGATGGGAGCTGGCAGGGCTGCTTCCCGTCCCAGTGGCCTTTTCAAAATCAATAAGCTCTTTCTGAATCGCTTGCTCAGACGGGGTGTCATGTCGGTGTCTCAGCCTGTGTGTCTTGGCCCTGGTGACCCCCCCCCGACTGGGAGATCACCATAAAACCCACAACACCGCCTTCCCCACTGCGGGCCTGCCCCCCACGTCGGGTCACGGCCTTGAGAATCAGGAGACTCCTGCCATAAATCATGACCATGCCCTCACAGCCGCGGGACTGTGCCCCCCAAATCACCAGCCCACCTTCAAACCCAGCCACTGCCCCGCAAGAGTCACAGGCTTACTGTCAAAACCACGGGCTCGCCTCAGAGCCCCCCAACTGCCCCGCTAAATCGTACCAGCGTCACGGAGAGCAGGAGATGCTCCCCCAAAATAGCAAATTTCCCGTCAAAATCCGGAGATGGCACCGAAATCCTAACGATCCCCCCGAGGCCAGAGACTGCACCCAAATCACAACGCCGGCCCTCGAAATCACAACTGCCGTCAAGACACAAGGTTTTAAACCATCATACATGTGGGGTCTTTATTTGCCTGCTGGGTTCCTCTCCCCTGGGGGAGAAAAAATCACATCTTCACCCTTTCCTCCCCGACCACGGGAGATGGCAACGGACAAATTTCATGAGCTCAGCTACGCCGAAATTCACAGACTCCAGGGGGAGTCACGTCTTGAAACAACTCACCTGTATTGAGGTGTGATGAAGACATGAAGCAGACAGTTCACTACTGTACAGGATAGATAGAGGGGGTGGAGGGGATAGATAGAGAGATAGATAGAAGGCGTGTATGGGGGGATAGATAGATAGATAGATAGATAGATAGATAGATAGATAGATAGATAGATAGATAGGGGTGTATGGGGGGATAGATAGAGAGATAGATAGATAGAAAGCGTGTATGGGGGGATAGATAGATAGATAGATAGATAGATAGATAGATAGATGATAGGGGTGTATGGGGGGATAGATAGATAGAGGGGGTGTATGGGGATGGGGGGGTGTATCTGGATAGATAGATAGATAGATAGATAGATAGATAGATAGATAGGGGTGTATGGGGGGATAGATAGATAGATAGATAGATAGATAGATAGATAGGGGTGTATGGGGGGATAGATAGATAGATAGATAGATAGATAGATAGATAGATAGATAGAGGGGGGTGTATGGGGGGATAGATAGATAGAGGGGGTGTATGGGGATGGGGGGGTGTATCTGGATAGATAGATAGATAGATAGATAGATAGATAGAGGGAGGGAGTGGAGCGGATAGATAGACAGCTGTGTAAGGGAACGGATGGATGGATGATGCAGTGTTAATCTCTCTCTCTCTCTCTCTGTGTCTCCTTTATCTCTCTGGACCATTGTCCTCAGTTCCTTTGTTTCGATGCCGAGATCTCAGCCTCCCCACCCCCACCCGGCCCTTCCAGAGGCAGCTGGCCTGAGAACCCCGAAG